ATTATTATCACTGACTTTTTTTATATCACCTTTACCATCATATTTTGTATTTGATACTGTCATTGAATATTGTACTTCCACTCTTTTGCCTACTGCCTGCTCTATTGGAGAGCCTGCGAAGTTGTTGCTTTTAGCAATGCAAACCTGACCATTCATGCGGGACACTGCTGGATTAGGGACATAGGAAATCTATCTATTTCAGGAACAAAAACAACCTTTATTTTGACATGTATTATGTATAACCAGCAACTGAACGAGAACTAGAAATTTGTTATCTTTCAATGAAAACACAATTATTAAAACAAAAGCAGCAAAAAGGACTAGCAGTACCACAGACTTGCGTGACATTTCTTCTGTGGAAGCACCACCATGAATCCGACCCGTGAAGATCCGGGGTGGAATAGGTCTTCAGCAACCCATGCTTGCCGTAAAAGGCGACTATGCTTGTCGTAAGAGGCGACTAACGGGATCGGGTGGTCAGTCTCGCTGACTTGGTTGATGCATGTCATCGATCCCAATTGCGTGGATCGATGCTCATGACATCAATCACTGGATTGTCTGGTCCAGACTCGATTATTTACAGACCACCGTCATATAGCTTGAATATTGCTGAGTGCGGCGTTAAACACCAAACAAACAAACAAAAAAACAAACAAAAACCATGAATCCACAAAACATAATACAATGGAATTGCAGAGGTCTTAAGGAGAATTTTAATGAAATACTTTAATTAAAACTTTTAATTCAAGATTTTACACCGTCACCTGTTGTCTCCAAGAAGCAGACCGTAAAAACAGAGATCAGTTTGATATCCGACAGAACAGTTCTGACCACTCGTTTTCCCCTCCTGGTGATAAAGCTACAGGGGGTCTATCTATCCTGGTGAAGCTGGGCATCAACCTCACTACTCCCAAACTATGAATACACAATGCCATTTAGGATCAACTCCAAAAAGTACGAGAATCTGTACTTTACTAAGGAAGTGTTATCCCAAATATAACATTTGTTACTCTCAAACTGTTACTCAAACATTTGTTACATTTACCCACTTTCTAAATGGCATTGTGTATTCATAGCTTTCGGCCATGGGAGCCGTGCCAATTTACACTTGCCAGAGGGGTACTCAAAGTACGTGATCTAGACTACCAGTTGTCGGACTTTCACTTTTGTGGAAGCCTCGGTGGCTGAGTGGGTTAGATCGCTGACTTTGTGTGCTGGCGATTAGGTGCCTCACTCTGGCAAGTGTGGGTTCGAATCCCGGACAGGAATCAACTCCAAAAAGTACGAGAATCTGTACTTTACTAAGGAAGTGTTATCCCAAATATAACATTTGTTACTCTCAAACTGTTACTGTTCACTGTGTCTTTCACCTTCCTCAACTATCCGTCAATCAGATCTTCAGACTTTGTATGATCAGCTCCCAAAGCCCTGCATGATCACTGGCGATTAAAACGGTCATAATCTCCTATGGGGCAGTACTAATACAATCTTCAAGGACTTTTCCCTTATAACTTGTATCTCAAACAATGATTTATGCATCTTCAATGATGGTACTAACACCCATCTGCATCCTGCCACTGGCGCATGCTCTGACGTTGACCTTTCACTGACAGATTCAAATATTTTAAACAAATTTGAATGGTCGGTCCATGATGACCTTTGTGGAAGAGTCGATATTCCAACAATACTTACAACTATTAATTCCGCTGACGAGCCACATTCATCAAGGTGGGACTTTACAAAGGCCAATTGGTCTTTATTGCAAACATTATGTACAGAAAACTAACACCTGACATTTCAGGAATGTTCCTGATCCTATACAACCATTTTCAGATCCATTAAATGTTATTGGAGACGAAAGTAGTCCTAAGTCCTCCCAAACCCTCATATACGTAAACCATGGTTTGATAATGATTGTAAACAAACTGGAAAAAATAGGAAGAAAGCTGAGAAATATTTCCGACGACATCCCACCACCCACAACCTGAATAATGTTAAATTCACGAGCGCTAGAGCGAGACGTACCTTTATAACAAAATAAACGCCAATCATGGAAGAACTCTGTATCTAAAATCAGTTCCCGCACACCAAAGTGTAGAACATGATTCCAAAGACGAAGGGCAAAGGATCAAAATCTTGAGTTCACAATCTCAGAGATGGTAATACACTATGAACAACTGTAACTGAAATTGCCAACAAGCTGGGTGAAACCTTGACAAGTCATTCCTAATCATCAAAATATAACCCTCAATTCAGAGGTTTCAAAAACAACAGGCAAAGAAAAAAAGAAGAAATTTTAACTCTGATAATAGTGAAACAATTTCACTCCATGAATTGCATGCTGCCCTAAAGCAAGCTCATGACACTGCAGCAGGAGCCGACAACATCCACTATCAGCTCCTGAAACACTTGCCTGATTCATGTTTGGAAACGCTGCTTAATTTTTGGATAACCGGAATTTTCCCTCCTTCGTGGCACAATGCTATTATCATTCCTATACCAAAGCCTGGACGGGATCACACAGATCCTTCCAATTACCGTCCACTATCAACTAGCCGTGTTTCTAAGACGAAGCAGCGCATGGTCAACAATCGGTAAGTCTGGTACCTGGAGACCAATAACCTCCAGAATGACATTCAGTGTGGTTTCCGAAAAAAAGTTTACAATTTGGTGTGTTTAGAATTATTTATTATAAGACGAAGCAGCGCATGGTCAACAATCGATTAGTCTGGTACCCGGAGACCAATAACCTCCAGAATGACATTCTGTGTGGTTTCCAAAAAAAAAGTTTACCATTTGGTATGTTTAGAATCAAATATTAAACAGTCCATTGTCAACAAACAACATACTGTGCCAATCCTTTTCGACCTCGAGAAGGCATATGATAATACTTGGAAATATGGTATTTTAGAAGATCTGCATGAATTTGGATTGAGGGTCAGATTACCTCAGTTCATGTCTCAGTTTTTAAACGGACAATTTCAAGTTCGAGTGGGCTCTACCCTGTCTGATCATTTCGATCAAGATCAGGGCGTCCCTCAAGGCAGCATCCTATCTGTCACACGTTTTAGCGTCAAAATTAATAGTCTCACCAAAATATTAAACAAGTGTTGATGGTTCACTTTTTGTGGATGATTTCAACATTTCTTGTCAAAGTACGAATATGAATACAATAGAAAGACAGCTACAACTCTAGCTTAACAAATTTAAAAAATGGGCCAACGAAAATGGCTTATTGCTTTCCATACCCAAAACAAACTGTATTCACTTTTGCCGAAAATATAAACCTCACAAGGATCGAGATTTATTTTTAGATGGTACTCCTATCAAGGTAGTAGAGGAGGCCAAATTCCTGGGCCTCATATTTGACCGTCATCTCACATCTACCTCACATCAAATATCTAATGACAAAGTGACTGAAGGCTCTAGACTTGCTAAAAGTCGTTTGAAATTCCGAGGATCAGACAACCCTCCTTCACTTGTACAGACCGCTAATACGCTCTAAACTAGACCATGGTTACATCGTCAAAGGTGGAGCTTGCAAAAGCAATTTCGAAAAATTAGACACAATACACCATCAGGGCCTAAGGCTCTGTCTTGGAGATTTTGGGATCTCTCCTGTGGACAGTTTGTATGTAGAAGCTGATCAAACTCGACCTGCGCCGCATTAAATTATCACTGCAATACATCACTAAATTGCAATCCAGTCAATCAAATCCAGCATACATTTGTGTTTTCATCCCTCTGTATGGAACCAGTTTCGAAATTTGTCAAACCAGATTCCACCACTTGGAATCAGAATTCAACCATACATCACTGCAGCTAAAATAGATTAAATATTATATCATACTACCGTCTACTGTTATCACTAAAAAGGCCCGTGAAGATCCGGGGTAGAATAAGTCTTCAGCGACTCATGCTTGCCGTAAAAGGCGACTATGCTTGTCGTAAGAGGCAACTAACGGGATCGGGTGGTCAGGCTCGCTGACTTGGTTGATGCATGTCATCGTATCCCAATTACGTGGATCGATGCTCATGATGTCACTGAATGTCGCGGAGTGCTTCGTTAAACAATAAACAAACACATACATACACAAACACGCCCGCACACCTACAAACACACACACACACACACACACACACACACACACACACACGTCCATGTATGTAATCTTTGAGTGTTATGATCCATATATGCACAACGCATTACATTTCAAATCAGTCGAAAGTATTGTTGATAAAGATTAAAAGAGTAATAATAAGCTTCTACGTGTGCATCAATAACCTTATGCCCTATAATCATCATAGTGTGAACTAGTTTTCTATTTGTATAAAAATCCCCTGGCAAGAAACGATCGCGGGGTGTCAGTAAACATGGCAACGTATCGCAATCCGTGTCAAGGAATATTAAAAGAAAACATGTCAAATTAATTAGCTGTTACGCTAGACTCGCACGATGTATACTTTTTAAAACTCGACCAGAATAGACGAATTACATAGAGGTACAAAAGCTGGTTCGTCCACACGCCGCACATTCAACAAGACCACAGTCGCTATTGATTTCACCACACACTCAAGTTGACAATAGAAATTACATTACAGCTCTAGGTTTCATGGTTTTGCAATTAGCAAATGTTTAAAGCTTATTTGTAAACAATTCTGAAATGACTTAAGAAAAACTTCTTATTTTGGTTGCGTAAATCTCCACTCGAAAATAACACAGTGGTCGTTCCTGTGATGTTGGAGGTCGTTAGTTTCAAAGACTGTCCCTTCATGTCAAGATATCGCTGACTTTTAACACTGACTACAGTCCTTTAAACATGTTAGATAGTTTCTTTGTTGTCATAAATCCACAGCAAATATGTCACCTCACGAGTACAAGAGGCCGAACAGCCGCGACATTCAACTAAGTCTTAACGAAAGCTTGCTGACACGCAAGCTGGTATACATAGTGGACGGCACTTGTTGTCGGCGTGTAGTTTTTCGTCCAGCCAGCGTTGCACTCAACGATACAAACTGCTCAGCAGGGAAGCGGCCGCAACGCTAACTGTAGCGCTAGCGGAACCTTCCCGTAGCTTGATCCCCTTTAAGCTTTTCCTCCAGGCAAATTATGCCCCAGTCAGCGTGTATGGCCTATGTGGAAGGCAAAGATCGCACCCTGGGATGATTGCTTGTTGGTGTCTTGATTTTCCTTATGTTAACAAAGTACATAGGAAATAAGCGAACCTGATTACCCTAGCGTTCAATCGACACAAAACAGTTGGAGTTTGTCGGCCGTGGACCATCGGGAAATTAACAAACGGAAAAACGGGAAAAAATATAAAAGATGTTTTTTGTCCGTTGAGGGCTTTCGTTCAATTGAATAGAGGCATTGAGGAGAAAGGATGTTTACTGTGGAAGAACATGTCTGAGGTTCTGTGTATATGCTGAAGCAACTGGTATATGCGAGGCACATCCAGGCTGTGGTATTGATCTTAACACAAGGGGTGTGCTCCACTGACAGTTTAGCAGAAGCTTGGTAAAGATCTTTTTCACATGGATTTAAAAAACAGTTTATCGGCGGCAGCTGAATTGAGGGAGCCTGTTTAAGAAGGGATGGTAATTATAGCACAGTTGTCTCCGTAGTTGCAGTCATGGTGCATACGTCACTCTACCTCCTCACCGCATGCGTTGCCGTGAACGTCGTTCATGCCGTATTTCTCGTCCGTCCGTTTCTCAATGGTCGTATTCCGACAACGTTTGGTCTTCCCCGGCATAATTTCTGGCCATATATACCAATCATCCCCCCTGTGAAAGACAACAAGACCTACTATGGACTCCCAAAGCACAACTTCTGGCCTTGGATCCCAGTTGTACCCCCCGAGGACGACTTGACGCCGGTCACGCCCCCAGGACCCACCCCTCCTTGGCCGGACCCTGAGGGAGGTAAGAGACATGTATTCGGAATATTTTACCACGGTGATAGATTCAGTTATCCTCTAAAAACCTTTGTTTGTTTGTTTGTTGTTTTACGCCGCACACAGCAATATTCGAGCTGAAAATAATCGAGTCTGGACCAGACAATTCAGTGATTGATATCATGAGCATCGATCTACGATCTATCGATACGATAACATTCATAAACCAAGTCAGCGAGCCTGACCAACCGATCCCGTTAGCCGCCTCTTACGACAACCATGAGTTCCTGAAGACTAACTATTCTGACTTGCTGACTATTCTAACCCGGATCTTCACGGGTCCATTTAAAAACTAGGGACCTTTATATCATTTCGATATTCAGTTTCTCTACCTACACTGTAGACGTCGTCATTTAATTGAATGATGTTTGTGTGGTGTAGTGCGGGAATTTGACCTCGTTATCGTGTGATGTGTTAAAGATGACAGTAGACGGGACGGGATAAGGCCGCTGGGGGCAGACTAGAGATGTTTAATTTTAAAATTCTGGGAAACTTTGAAATATTGGTGTGACATTTATCAGACATGTTGAAATAGTAGCCTTTTCTCTTTCTGTACCCTTACGGTAGGGCAGGGCAGACTTACCCTTTTCGCGACCACCAGGTGTCATCGGTGGGTTTTCAGTGATCCATTCATATGATGATCACCGCTGTTTTGCCATGTGCGTATAGTGTAATCTGTGTCGGCGGATAATCGAGACTGGTGTTGACGTTCTATGTGTAGACGTGTTGGACTCGTGACCTATGAAGTATATATGTATGGCTTAAGTTAGTGCAAAATGCCATTTAAAGGGAAATTCCGTGAGCAAAGAGCAATGTTTGTTTTGTCTATACCTATATGTCCAAATCAAATTGATGATAAGTAAAACTCTTTCTTACCCCCACCCCTCACCCCGTGAGATATTTTGACATATTCTAGCTCACTCACTCATATCTCCTTGCCCTTTCTCCTATATCCTTTCCCTTTTTTAAAACTTCTGGTCCTTTTTCATTTAGAAAACTGCGATAAAAAATATGTTAGTTTGCGTATTGCAACAGTTGCTATAATCTATTTCGGTAAATATAATGTCAAGGGCAGTTTGTACATAATATATATATCACGTCAAGACTAGGGCATAATCAGCCTCGATTGTCTGCCGAGGCGATTCCCACTGGGTGTACACGGCTAATTGGAGGTAAAGAATGATATGAATGGATCACTCAGTGATAACACAGGGTGTTCGCGAAAAGGGTATGTATGCTCTACGGGTAGTGGGCGGTCGGGTAGCCTAGTGGTTAAAGCGTTTGCTCGTCACGCCGAAGACCCGGGTTCAATTCCCGACATGGGTACAATGTGTGAAGCCCATTTCTGGTGTCCCCGCCGTGAATTTGCTGGAATATTGCTAAAAGCGGCGTAAAACCATACTCACTCACTCACTCTACCGGTAGCACCCAGCACTCACACTTTGCAGACATCCTACATGCATACAGAGAGAACGCATCTGAAGAGTTAAATACTGTTTTCTTTAAACCTGTTGCTCGGACTTAACCTAAAAATGTACGAGAATCTGTAAAAAAGTGTTATCCCAAATATATTTGACCACTTTCTAAATGGACCCGTGAAGATCCGGGGTAGAATAGGTGTTCAGCAACCCATACTTGCCGTAAAAGGCGACTATGCTTGTCATAAGAGGCGACTAACGGGATCGGGTGTTCAGACTTGCTGACTTGGTTGATGCATGTCATCGTATCCCAATTGCGTGGATCGATGCTCATGATGTCAAACACAGGATTGTCTGGTCCAGACTCGATTATTTACAGAGTGTCATATAGCTTGAATATTGCTGAGTGTGGCGTTAAACAACAAACAAACACACTTTCTAAATGGCATTGTGTGTTCACTGTTGTGAGTTGTCGGCGCGACTGTTTCCTGAAACGTGCAGTGATCTCAGTTTCAGAGATGACTGATGTGAAAGACTTGTAATCAAATGTAATTCTAAACTTCAAACACGGTCAACTTGGGAGGTCATGCTACATTTCCCCGAGGAATATTAATTCGTGTCAGTCGTATCTTTCCTTAGCATAGTTTCCTATACGGCAGGGGTGGACATATTTCTGATTTCGACAACATTGATGACACGTGTTCGATTACACTGATCCTTCGAGGTTTTACATGAATCTGATTGGAAATAATAAACATATATGAACGCATGGAATCAATACAACTAAATAAATAAACAAACAAACAAACAGACAATCAAACAAGAGAGATGATAGCGATTAATTATAACGAAGGGTAGTCAAACGCTCCGAACTTTTCCCCAGGAACAAATACCTTAGAACCATGCTGTACTTTGTCTGCGAGAAGCAGCGGTCAGCGGTGGGGAACCTGGCGGTTAGAATGTTCGCCCGTGACGTAAGGGTCATGTGTGACGCCCTTTCTTGCCAAAAAGGTTGAGGTGAAATGTTGCTACAAGCGGTGTAAAACCACAATCTCACAACAGTGGAACCCCGTTATACAGGATGGTAGCCCCGTTAGATCGTCCTGAAGATGGATGGTCGGTTAAACGAATCAGCAACCCTTTTGTGGTTAGACTAACGGAAACGGGTGGTCATGCTCGCTGACTTTGTTAATGTGTGTCACGTATCCCAGTTGTGTAGACCTATGCTCATAATGTCAATCACTGGATTGTCTGATCCAGACTCGATTATCTACAAATCGCCGACATACAGCTGAAATATTGCTGAGTGCGGCGTTAAACAACAAACAAACGAACAAAAATAATATCAAGCAGGACTTGCAGTAAATGTCCGGAAGATGGAGGTTCCGGATTGACGAGGTTCATTGAATACGAAGGACGGAATTTTGGGTGATCTCGAAACTCGTTTTTGCCAAATTATAACAGAGATACAAAAGTTCCGTTCCCTGATATAGCCGGGGTGTTGCTAAAATCGATTTAAAACCTCACTCACTTTACTCAAACTCATGGTCGAAGGGTTGTTCTGATCACAGATTAAGCAAATATTAAACGCCAATACCAGAGAAAAAACCGTCTCGGTTCTCCGCCGAAACAGATTCCACTGGACCTAAAAGGCAAAATAGCGGTGCAAATTACATAAATGAATCACTGAAAATCAGTGATGACACCTGGTGTTTGCGAAAATGGTAAGCATGTCCTGCTCTACCGGCAGAACCTCCCACTCACACGATTTGCATAAAAATACGTGTTTGTTTGTTGACATTCAAGTGACACGAAAGCGCATTTACTGATTTTGTTGAAACTAAAAACGAAGTGTTATTTTTTTAAAACGTCGGCTGTGTACAAGTGCAGGAATTCTGCTGCTTGTAAATAAAAATTAAACGTTTAAAAAATTAAGAAATATGTTCGTTTTGCAACAAAATGGGAAAGGAGGGGGGTGTATTTGGGTTGGGGTGTGCAGTATTTTTTTTATCTCGGCCCAAACAAATCTTTTCAAGCTGACTCGGCATAATAGATAAATACCTCTGGGCTTTGATGTAAGTCTCGTGTTCTGATAGATATTTAGTTATGTGACCTTGACGTGAAACTATTGGTGTTGCATCAATGACAACACACGCCATCACGGAGACGGCAGGGGCATTACATGTAAGAATGTCAACCCAAGGCTATCTTAACAGATAATCGGTTTGAATAAACAAGATTTAAACTTAACTGTTAACCCCCCAAAGCATTTTGACACCTTGGAGAAAAGGGATTTAAAAAAAAGAAAAAACAATAAGCTCTCGTCAGCATTTCACACTAGAACCACCAGCGCTTTATAACGTCATGTTAAATTTATTATTTGGTTGTTTGTTGTTTAACGCCGCACTCAACAATATTCCAGCTATATGACGGCGGTCTGTAAATAATCGAGTCTGGACAGGACAATCCAGTGATTGACATCATTAACATCGAATCACGCAGTTGGGATACGATGACAGGTGTAAATACAACTAATTGTTTAAGTGGAACATATGAACGAAGGCGGACACAGTATAACTATTTGTGTTCAGGAAGTGGTATATGTGATGTGATGTGGTCCAGCGGGAGGGTGTTCGCTCTGTCCTGCATATGTTCCGGGTTCAAACTCGCTCTGACGACCCTGGGGGGTTGGGATGTATGTCGTGTATTGACACAATTTGTGAGTGAGTGAGTGAGTATGGTTTTACGCCGCTTTTAGCAATATTCCAGCAATATCACGGCGAGGGACACCAGAAATGGGCTTCACACATTGTACCCATGTCGGGAATCGAACCCGGGTCTTCAGCGTGACGAGCGAACGCTTTAACCACTAGGCTACCCGACCGCCCCTGACACAATTTGTAAACGCAGGGTTCTCGTTTCTACATCACAACGTACTGCATGCATGGAGAATCCGTACAAAAGTTCGATAACGGATAAAACAGCACGACAGACCCCCCCCCCTCTCACTTGCACCATTTGCAGCTGTGTCTGGGGGCTCTGTCCCCAGGGGGAAATATAGGGATATTAAATCATCATTGACATTTTAGTCTGCAAATCAGCCAATGTCATTTTTCAACTTTTTCATCAACTACTCATAAAATCTAAGGGGCGGTGGGGTAGCCTAGTGGTTAGAGCGTTCGCTCGTCACGCTGAAGACCCGGGTTCCATCCCCGACATGGGTACAATGTGTGAAGCCCATTTCTGGTGTCCCCCGCCGTGAATTTGCTGGAATATTGCTAAAAGCTGCGTAAAACCTTACTCACTCACTCATAAAAACTAATAAGGGATACGATGTTAGATGACTTCGACCCTTGAAGATCCGGGGTAGAATAGGTCTTCAGTAACCCATGCTTGCCGTAACAGCTGATTATGCTTGTCGTAAGAGGCAGCTAACGTGATCGGGTGGTCAGGCCCGCTGACTTGGTTGATGCATGTCATCGTATTCCAATTGCGTGGATCGATGGATCACAGGATTGTCTGGTCCAGATTCGATTATTTCATATTCATATAGCTTAAATATTGTGCGGGGTTGAACAGCAAACAAACATACAAACAAACAAACGACGTTAGTTCAGCTGATACGGACGTTTGACACTGGCAGGGCTCTGTAAGTATACACAATGCATTTAAGGATATTTGTAATTTTCCGTCATTACAAAACCTTTGAAAAAAGTCTATTTATTTTTCTAACATTGCTTTAAGGCAAGATAAGAGTGTATTTCCCGCTAAATATATATCCCAGTGTGCTGATAATTGAGGAGAATATGAAACTAGGACGAAACAAACAAAGGTAATTTAGCTGAATATAAAAAAACGAATTTTCAGCAAATGTTCGTGATTGCATAAAACATTTACGCAATTGATTACCAAACATTTTCACAGGAAACTGTGACTCTCTTAACACGCTGAACGCAAACACTCGCACGTTGTGACCCGGTGGAAACAAAGAAAACGTTTTCTTTCCGTTCGTGTTGTAAGAAGCTGAACACATTATGTTAATAAATGGTTGCTTTAAAACGTTCTTAAACATTTACATTCTTGATGTTGTTTAAAACAAATTATTGGGCAAGATCTCGTAAACGTATGCAACAGACGCAAACTTTGTTTCCAGGTCTGTGTTGAAAGATATTGTTTAAAACATTCGAGTGTACTAAATGCTTAAGATCTATTCTTACATATACCAATCCGTCTTGTTCCATGATGTTATCTCAGTACTCAAAAAGTCGGCAAAGTGTTGGTTACCTCGTTGTCCGACCGTGAACGATATAATAAAAAACACACAATGCCATTTAGAAAGTGGACAAATGTAACAAATGTTATATTTTGGATAACACTTTCTCAGTGAAGTACAGATTCTAGTACTTTATGTGGGCGAGTCCCATCCAGGACTGTGGTACACCAAGTACGTGATCTAGACTACCAGTTGTCGGACTTTAGGTTTTGGAAGCCTCGGTTGCTGAGTGGGTTAGATCGCTGACTTTGCTTGCTGGTGATTAGGTGCCTCACTCTGGCAGTGTGGGTTCGAATCCCGGATGGGACTCAACCCCCAAAAGTACTAGAATTAATTACTAATTACTTACTGTAAATACTAAGAAGTGTTATCCCAAGTATAACATTTGTGACGTTTGATATAATTATTTTAATATTTCACATTTTCCACATTTTATAATCTATATGGTCTCTGTGAGTGTATGCGTATTTATTTTCCACATTCTATAATCTATATGATCTCTGTGAGTGTATGCGTATTTATTTTCCACATTCTATAATCTATATGGTCTCTGTGAGTGTATGCGTATTTGTTTTCCACATTCTATAATCTATGTGATCTCTGTGAGTGTATGCGTATGTGTTGTCCACATTCTATAATCTATATGGTCTCTGTGAGTGTATGCGTATTTGTTTTCCAAATTCTATAATCTATATGGTCTCTGTGAGTGTATGCGTATTTGTTTTCCACATTCTATAATCTATGTGATCTCTTTGAGTGTATGCGTATTTGTTTTCCACATTCTATAATCTATATGGTCTCTGTGAGTGTATGCGTATTTGTTTTCCACATTCTATAATCTATATGATCTCTGTGAGTGTATGCGTATTTGTTTTCCACATTCTATAATCTATGTGATCTCTGTGAGTGTATGCGTATTTGTTTTCCACATTCTATAATCTATATGGTCTCTGTGAGTGTATGCGTATTTGTTTTCCACATTCTATAATCTATATGATCTCTGTGAGTGTATGCGTATTTATTTTCCACATTCTATAATCTATATGATCTCTGTGAGTGTATGCGTATTTATTTTCCACATTCTATAATCTAAATGGTCTCTGTGAGTGTATGCGTATTTGTTTTCTACATTCTATAATCTATATGATCTCTGTGAGTGTATGCGTATTCATTTTCCACATTCTATAATCTATATGGTCTCTGTGAGTGTATGCGCATTTATTTTCCACATTCTATAATCTATATGGTCTCTGTGAGTGTATGCGTATTTATTTTCCACATTCTATAATCTATATGATCTCTGTGAGTGTATGCGCATTTATTTTCCACATTCTATAATCTATATGGTCTCTGTGATTGTATGCGTATTCATTTTCCACATTCTATAATCTATATGGTCTCTGTGAGTGTATGCGTATTTATTTTCCACATTCTATAATCTATATGGTCTCTGTGAGTGTATGCGTATTTGTTCCAGGATACAACTACGGGGAGGCGATGTATAAATCTATTCTGTTCTACGAGGCTCAGAGGTCAGGCTACCTCCCGGACAACAACAGAATCACCTGGAGGGGGAACTCGGCCACTGACGACCGGGGCATGTTCGGGGAAGACCTGACCGGAGGCTGGTATGACGGTGAGTGAGTGAGTGAGTGAGTGAGTGAGTGGTCGAGTGAGTGAGTGAGTGAGTGGTGCGTGAGTGAGTGGTCGTGTGAGTGAGTGAGTGAGTGAGTGAGTGGTGCGTGAGTGAGTGGTGCGTGTGTGAGTGAGTGGGTGCTGCGTGAGTGAGTGAGTGGTCGTTTGAGTGCGTGAGTGAGTGAGTGGTCGAGTGAGTGAGTGATGCGTGAGTGAGTGGTCGAGTGAGTGAGTGAGTGAATGGTGCGTGAGTGAGTGAGAGGTCGAGTAAGTGAGTGGTCGCTGCGTGAGTGAGTGAGTGAGCGCTGCGTGAGTGAGTGAGTGAGAGGTCGAGTGAGTGAGTGGTCGAATGAGTGAGTGAGTGAGTGAGAGGTCGAGTGAGTGAGTGCTGCGTGCCTGAGTGAGTGAGTGAGAGGTCGAGTGAGTGAGTGAGAGAGTGATTGATTGAGTCAGTGGTTGTGTGGTCGAGTGATTAAGTGAGTGGTCGAGTGGTCGAGTGAGTGAGTGAATGAGCCTTCTCCAGTGGGAGTCCCCCAGTCTACATAGGCCGGCAGTATCTCAGGACTGCAGAAAATGTCGACTAAAAGGAAGACCGGGGGCTGGGCCCTGTGACCTGGCTAATGGTTTGGCATCATGCTCCTGCTATCGACCATTGGTTTGCCGGGCCCATAATCCATTTGCAGGCTAATTACAGCCGACATAGTGTTGACTGTTGCGTAAAACACCCAAACAAACACAACACAACGATCCACGTGGAGTGAAGATGACCGACAACCAACTGGTTCATCTATAGTAATCACTCGGCTTCATCGCAAGCTCAGGATACCACACACAAGCTGTACTCTCCCTCCATGGGTCTATGGTAATCAGAAGAGTTGAACGATTGACGGAGACAGACACACTGACAGACAGATATTATATTACAGTCTCACCGTATGCATACATTTGTAGTGAGTGAGTGAGTATGTTTCTACGCCGCTTTTAACAATATTCCAGTAATATAACGGCGGGGGTAACCAGAAATGAGCTTCACACATTGTACCTATGTGAGGAATTGAACCCGGGTCTTCGGCGTGACGAAAGAACGCTTTAACCACTAGACTCCATTTGTATTTACAGTATATATTACATATTATGTTGTAATTCTTGATGGAATTATGTTGGACTATTACTGACCAGACATACACAATGCTTTGTGAAATATGTGCAGCATCAGAAGTATAACAGGATTCTACGTTTAAGGGGGCGGTGCGGTAGCCTTGTGGTTAAAGCGATCGCTCGTCACGCCGAAGACCCGGGTTCGATTCCCCTTAAGTATACAATGTGTGAAGCACATTTCCGGTGTCCCCCGCCGTGATAATTACTGGAATATTGCTAAAAGCGGCGTAAAACCATATTCACACACTCAATCTACGGTTAAGTATAAATACAGGTGTTGGTTAAAGACATTTACAACTATACACTGGACATTATACACATATCTACACTGGACATTAAACATATATTCACTTGACATTAAACACATAATATTGTTCTGAAATGCTAAAATATGAATTGATGCGTTTATGTACGATGCATGTTGAAAAGGTTAAAACGTAAACCCTCGTAAATCGGACAACACATTAAAACAGTGAGTGAGTGAGTGACATGCTTTGGATACTCACATGCCCTGTGTCTCCAATAGCTCAATTGGGTCATGCAGACGATGGAGGTCATATCGAGCAACCTGACGTGCAACTTAGTTCTGTTAAACACAACATTCCTAGAACTGCTGTGGGAACTACATGCGGAGTGATCGACCTGTGTGCAGTTAACAGTCCTGTAAGATTACTACTCCTTAATCACCATATAGGTAACGGACGAATGGACCGGAATAGTCTGAGAGTTTCAATACCTCGAGGATTACCGCTTTTACATAGCGGAAACGGAACAAGAGTATTCGCTTCAGTTTCTTTCGGACTTAGGTGGAGGTGCCTTGACGATTTGATGTTTGTTTGTTTGTTTGTTGTTTAACGCAGCAATCAGCAATATTCCAGCGATCTGACGGTGGTCTGTAAATAGTCGAGTCTGGACCAGACAATCCAGTGATTGACATCATGAACATCGATCCACGCAATTGGGATAAGATGCCATGCTTCAACCAAGTCAGTGAGCCTGCCCACCCGATCCCGTTAGTCGCCTCTTACGACAAGCATGCATGGTAGCTGACAGTTTGATATCACTTCATGAACGTTTCTAACAAATACAAAGCTACGCACTTTTTCAATATGTAGTTGAGATTGCATAGAGAATTCATCAGAAGCCTACGGCCTTGGTAAGACAGTGATACTTTGGATGTAGTACCTATCTATGGTAGTGGATTGAGCGCCTGCCTGGAGGGCGGAAGGTCCGGGGTCGATCCACGGCCGCGTCATACCAAAATACCTTAAAAGATGATTGTTGTTACCCTGCCTTGCGCTCGGCATTAAGGGGCTAAAATAAGGACTGGTCGGCTCAGAGTCAGTATTCTGTGTCTGCGGCATGGTATCTCAGTGCGCTGGCAATATTAATCGACGTCGGTCCGGACTAGTACAAGCAGCCACATACACACACACACACGTACATGCACGTCACTATATCAGTGCAATAATCTTGGACCCCTTTCACCTCACCTCACCTCACCTTACCTCACCTCACCACACGTCACCACACCTCACCTCACCACACCTCTACTCACCTCACCTCACCTCACCTCTGTATTGCAGCCGGCGACTACGTGAAGTTCGGGTTCCCGATGGCGGGGGCGACGACGATGTTGCTGTGGGGGTTCCTGGAGTTCAAGGAGGCGTACGAGGGGACTGGACTGTTGGAGGACATGTACGACTGTGTGAAGTGGCCACTTGATTACTTTCAGAAAGCTCATCCGACCAAGTACGAGTTCTATGCCCAGGTAGGAAGAGTGTTTAATACCAGGTGGCGATTGAGGTAATTAGCCTCTTACACTTCTTATATTTTTCACCACTTATTTGCTTTTTACGCTAAATGGAATCTGTTTCGGCAGATAAACGAGGCTGATTATTCTCTGGTGTTGATGTTTTTTTATTTTTTATTCCAAACTGTGATGAAATACAAATATTTTTAGTTAAATATAAATTTCTGAGAAATGGCAAGAATATTGTTGTTTTCGTCGAGATGGTATTTATTATGTATAGAATATTGACCCAGCAGCGATTGGATAAACGGTAGAATATTGTAATGTTATTCCAAACGTTGCAGCGCCTAACAGGCAGCTTAGTGTGTATGCTTCATAGGGAGCTGAGAATGAATGTAAATGTAAACAAACAATTTTGTGCGCTCTGTGCGCTCTGTGCGCTCTGTGCGCTCTATCAATTTTGTAAATATAAAAGTTATCACCACTGGTAGGGTTTCCGGGGAAGAATAGGTCCCTGTACCTCATGCCTGCCGTAAACCCAACTAAAGAGCATCGACTGTTGTGAACTAAAAAACAAGTTAAAACGATCTTGTTTTGAGTAGTATACATTATGAACCAGGACTTTCAATGCATATTTTACGCACACTTATGTTGAGGTAAATAAGCTACCTGAGCTAATGTTCAGTTTCCTGGGTCAGGTGTCATATTTTCTGGTTAAACCTCAGTGTAGACTTGTTTCCGTTACATGGCGGTAGAGGTCTACGCCTTTAGTGAACTCCACCGGATCGTGACTTTCTCTGAAATATTGTTCAGCTTGTACAAACAAATGATTTGCATAACGTTCATTTGCACTAACGTCTATCGACGTAAGATATTTTAGAACGTATCGGCGTCTCTGTGTGTTGTTAAAAACATCAGGAAGCAGTTATATGTTCTGTGTTTCCAGGTGAAACCCACTTTCCCTCAACTTGTATTTCCGTCAGCCTAATGCATTACATCAAACGAAAATATGAGTCAGGAGGCTAATCATAAGGTTTAGCCTCGAAAGCATGGCAAGGTCATTACCTCAATGCACAGGAACCTTATGTATTCGACAGCCTCCGCGTCAAATCAAAAAGACGTTATAAGATGGTACTTGTTGTTACCCTGTCTGGCGCTCGATATTAAGGCGCTAAGACAAGGACTGGTCGGCTCGGAGTCAGTGTACTGTGTCTGAGTGGGGTATTCATGTTAAACTGCGGCATGGTATCTCAATGTGCTAGCACTTTAACACCGGCATTAGTCCTGAAACGCACACGCACGCACGCACGCACGCACACACATTATAAAAGCAATAATCTTGAACGCTATGTTTAACCCCATTTCACCTCACCTCACCTCCGGTACCGCCTCTTCCGGACAATTTTGGTATGTATAATAATATTCTATAATCTACACTGTACTGGGCCAATGCCTTCTTAATCCAAACAACTTTGAAAGTAGTTGCTCGAATAAACGAGGTTTGGTGTTTGCGCTAGTTAGTGGAACGTGTAATAAAGTATACACTTTGCAACGACCGATTTGACAGTATACAGTATATAGACATTATTTGTTACCGTACTGTAAGATAGTATCCCCCTTGTTTGAAACATCGGGGGCATATAGCGATCACAATGTCCGTCCGTCCGTCCGTCAGCGGTCCGTTTTCCGTTTCCGCAGCAGAACTGAAAACGGTTGAATATTTCCTGTTGAAACTTTTTATATAGGTAAGTCTAGTGGGGAACTGGTGCCTGTTGATGATTTGCGATATTTATTCTTTTTGGTTTTCATGATTTGTCATGATGAAAACAAGCAGAACTCCAAAACCGTTTAATATTTCTTGGATGAACTTGCTATACAGACCAGTATAGTGGTAAAGTGGTGCCTTTGGTGATTTGGGATATTGACAAATACGAAACAACATTATACTTTTCTTCACTGAACTGAAGGTATCACATGCCAAAAGTGGGGTACAAAGAGCCAAACTCCATTTCCAAATGGCACCAGACCAGGGGAGGTGACTCTTGCTTTATCTTTGCTTTGACCAATATCTAAATACATTCTTGACCTCCATTTGTCTAAAATGGCGTCATTTCCGGTTGTCATTTACTGCGACACTGCTCTAATGCTAACAAAGAAAACCAATAATTATGAACATGGATGCCAAAGATGCATGGAATGGGACGATAAAATATCAACCTCCGGAATGGGACCATGGCAACCTTTGTCTTTTTGTTTGTATTTACAACTTGTTTGACTCACATCTGACTTCTGTTACTATTTATTCAAGGTAGGTGACCCGTATGTAGATCACAGCTTTTGGGGAAGACCGGAAGACATGGACATGTACAGACCGTCGTATCGCTTGACACCTGAACGACCCGGAAGTGACGTCATTGGAGAAACGGCAGCAGCGTTGGCTGCCGGATTCGTTGCATTTAAACCAAAAGGTATCTTGTGAACTGCCGTTTTTTGCCACTTTACTTCAGTTCAAATCCATTTAAATTAATGTAAATTAAATAAATATATTTTAGGGCCCAAGACATGGGCATAAGAGACCCATAATGGCGTCATGGTGCAGGATTCACTTGATTTTACTGACGCTGTGTCATTGCACGATCAGAAGCTTTAACCCTTATACAGACAGGGATTTCAATGTTATATTGATGGACGTCAAATTAACGAGATATTAATATAGATTTTGAGTTAAAGCTCTTTATCACAGAAACCGGAAGTTAGTTATATTACTGATCAAGTTCTGTCCTTGTCTGTAGTTTCCATGTGTAAACAGCTTAGCTATCAAGATTCGGTTGGACACATATTTGAACTATTGAATCGTGTGCTGAATTTTATCTGCATCTTTATCTCAGACCCGGTCTATGCAGCGGAACTACTTCGTCACGCGGAGGAACTTTTTGACTTTGCTGATCGATACCGAGGAAAGTACAGCGACAGCATCCCTATCGTGGAGGAATTCTACACGTGAGTTTGTAGTCATTTTCCTTTCGTCGTCATCATGTATCGTAAGGGGGTGGGGATAACTTTTTTGTGTGTCTGTGTGGTGTGGTGTGTGGTGTGGTGTGGTGTGGTGTGGTGTGGTGTGGGATGGTGTGGGGGTGGGGGTGGGGGTGGGGGTGGGGGTGGGGGTGGGGATGGTGGCAGTGCATGACGCATATCATCCTCTACAGTCCTGTGTATTATATGTCAAGTTTATTACTAAACACATTCTCGGCATATTCGCCTCCATAGCTTTGTTTGAGAAGTGGCGCCATCCCCTCCTATCGCACCTTTGTCTAACCTAGCACATGCTTTCTCCCGCCTTTGGATAGTAGGGCCGTTTTGGGCGTGATGCCCGTCGTGCTAATCCATGGTACGAGGTATTTATCAAATAGAATGGAGATATAGTACACTGAATAAACGGGTGTCGATAAATAGTATACTTGTTTTTGAATATGCAAATTTGTCAGAAAGACAAGACTAGGACAGTATACTGTTCACGTGTGAGTCTAGGTGTTATGTGGACAGCTGTGATGGTCGTGCAATGGTCTACAGGCGTTCAGGAGAACGTTTAAGCGACGATTGCGTTACTCAACGTCGTTAGTTTAGGGGTGGAACACATTGTTAATTGCAATTTGAATGACGTACGCGGCCGGAAAGACATCGTTCGGATCATGTTCTACCCTTTGTGCAAATGCAGGGCCGTAACGTCACGATGCAGCAGGATAATCCTCGCATGTTGCACGTGTTGTAACATACTTTTTGAGGCAGCATAACATTGCTGCACTGCCGGCTGTTCCTCCACAACTCTCACCCATAGAAAGTGTCTGGGATAGGATGGCAAGACGCCTACGACAGGACCAGAACCAGCCGCCAACGCTAGCTCAGTTTTTTGGCCAATCTTTGATTGGCATTTGGAACAACATCCCAAGGCTGGTTTCAGTCATCTTGTGTCTTCAATGCACCGCCTCTGCCTCTGTCTGTATCAACGCAAATGGTGGTTACACTCGATACTGACTGTTTTACACCAACCTTCTTTGGTGTCGTTCTGTCTCCTGTTACCAGGTTTGTGTTTTGTCAATGAATTTGTTACGATAAAACATTGATCAGACGAATTACCAAACATTATGATGTTATTTACAATAACATAACATTTACCCCACTCTATATGAAGCATCACGATGTCAATCACTGGATTGACTGGTCCAGGCGCGATTATTTACAGACCGCCGTCATATAGCTGGAATATTGCTGAGTGCGGCGTTAAACAACAAATGAACAAATATATGAAGCACAGTTACTTTTTCCCGCTAGTTTATTTGCATGAACATGACAATGTCACCATTTAACGGGCTGTTTTTTTAGGCTTTCGGTAATGAGCTTCCTCGTACGCCGAACCACACCCCCACGAATGTACCGACGGCTGTGTTAGAGATTTGCTTGACACGAACATGGGCTGTCCGTGAACTCTTCGAGACCAGAGTCACGGTCCCTTCACATCGAATATCATCATTTATTCACAACCCGGAAGTTAAGGTTGCAGTACATACTTCTTGGGATTAATGCGTGCGTCATTAAAAACCAGGAAAGCAGTAATGAATCGCATTTATAATTCTGTGTAGTGGGATATCACCACACTCTACCCTAGTCATGTGTAGGGCAGTGTCTTACGAAGATAAAGTGAATTGGTTTAGGATTACATTTGCTGTGTGAGTGAGTGAGTGAGTGAGTGATGGTTTTCGCTGTAGACGCAATACTCCAGCTCTATCAAGACAGTATACAAAGCGTGTGGGCCAGGCAAACAAGTGGTTGATATAATGAGCAACTTTACTAACCGCTAGGGTACGTTGACACACAGCCTACCAAGGTACACTATTGAAAACTTTGTAAAGCCTCACTCACTCAAAAGTCGTAAGAGGCGACTAACGGGATCGGGTGGTCAGGCTCGCCGACTTGGTTGATACAGGTCATCGTATCACAATTGCGTGGATCGATGCTTGTGATTTCATTCACTGTATTGTCTGGTCAAGGCTCGATTCTTTACAGACCGCCGTGATATAGCTGGAATATTGCTGAGCGCGGCGTTAAACATCAAACAAACAAACGAACTTATTTGACTCACATCTGACTTCTGTTACGATATATTCAAGGTAGGTGACCCGTATGTAGATCACAGCTTTTGGGGAAGACCGGAAGACATGGAAGAGTTTGGCGTTAAACAACAAACAAAAATTTGCACTCACTGACTCACACCCTCACCCCCCTAACTGATTAGTAAATGAACTTTCGCATAAATAATTAAGAAATATCTGCTAATAGCAGAGTCCATTGTACGATTCCGACTACATTATTAGCATGTGTTCATGAATCGTTTCAAAATAAGTGCTCGCAAAACTCGTAAATGACGTACAGTACATTTAGTTATATTTCTCTTCGAGATGTCTCTCTATCATGCCTTACAATACTACCAAGATGAATTATTTATCCCATAGTACATCAATATTGGAAACATCTTCATTAACCGGAACAGTCGGATCGATTTTACGCTCTGTAAACACAATAAAATGTCAACCTTATTTATCATTAATAATGCATTTTCTTTGAGCTATTCTCTTATCACAGATCGCCTATTTCCGTAACTGCTTCATTTTGTTCCGGAAAACATACAGGAGTTTTAAGGACAGAACGGTTAACGATGCTGCTCGGACACAGTCAGAAAACATCGTGAAACATCGTGAAACACTGCCGAATGTTCATGACATCCTTGTTTTCCCCAGGTCGTCCGGCTACCGTGACGAGTTGACGTGGGCGGCAGCGTGGTTGTACCGCGCCACCGGCTTGAGGAAGTACCTGGTCGCCGCGGAGCGGAACTACGACCGGGGAAGCTGGGCGCAGTCCTGGGATGAGAAGACGGCAGGGGCCACGGTGAGAGTCAGACTGGTTCCCTGGGTATGCTGCGCTGGCGCTGCACTGGGCCACGCAGCATACCCAGGAAACCAGGCTTCGGTGAGATTCCTCAGCCGCACGCGGAAAACACACACGTCACTTTTCACAAACGACACACACAAAACACATTTCCGTAACGGAAAATGAATACTTGTACATTGAAATGTCCGGATAGACAATACAATCATTAAAAATAAATTTATAATGAAAAAAAAATTACTTAATATTACATTCTGCATTACGTGTGTACCCCTGGCAAAGGTTAAGTGCATTTTTTCTTTTCTCACCTCCCTGGGGAGAGTAACAATGGAGGCTTGGAATCCGATGATCGTCATTCTACCGGGTACCCATTTAGCCGGCGTGGAGAGGGACAAATAAACAATTTTATTCAGCAGTTGTATTTTAGAACTCTCAAACAGTTATGTAATATAATTCTAGTCGTGGCAAGTGAGTGATTAGAACGTTGTTTCACGGCTTGTTCAAAGTCTAGTTGTTGTAATTGGTGCACTGAAAACAGAAACAGATGTGAAAAATGTGAAACAGAAACATTGTCCCTATGTGATTAGGGTAATTATAATGAAATGTAAGTTTACAGACTAAGAGAGAGATATTTCTCTAATAACACTGTGTGTTTTCTCATTGTCATTGTCCAGGCACGTGTGGCCCAGTCGTCTAAGGCGCCGCAACTCGCTGTGCAGAGTTGCGTCCCTTGAGCACACCAGAAACCTATGATTGTGGGTTCGAACCCCGGTTCGCCCCGATTATGTTTCTAGGTTTGTCAGCACCATACTCGTGCTCGTGGGTTTCACCGAAGTGGTAAACTTCCGAGACCTACATCACTTCGGGCTTTCCTCCCACATTAAGCTGACACGCCGTGATATAACTGGAATATTGTTTAAAACGGCGTTAAACCCAACTCACTCACTCACTCACTCACTCATTGTCCAGTGCACTACGCAGGGAAATAGGGCAGGAGAGACGGCAAAACTGGTGTTCCAGTAGAAATACCTTGGGTGGCCAAGTCCTATGTTGCAGACAAGAGTTGCATCAGTTTACACTGTAGGTGTGTCAGAACACTATGGTCGTGGGTTCGAATCTCAAATTATCCCTGATTATGAACCTTGGTTTATCAGCCCCATACCTGTCCTCGTGATTGTCACCAAAGTGTGAAACCTGTCAGTGCTAGAGAATAACCAATCTCGAGTATCTGCCGAAACAGATTCCATCTGGCGTGAGGTGCAATATGGCTGTGAATGTGATCTGAATGGACCACTGAAAATCAGTGATGACACCGGGTGTTCGCGAAAAGGGTAATCGTTTCCTGCATCCCGTATAACTGTACATATTACCTCCGATATAAAGCTGACACGTCACGATGTTACAGAAAAGTTTTCAAAACGGGGTTAAATTCACTCACTCACCATTCATATTGAGAATCTATGTCCATGTTTTATGATTTCGGGGTTTTCAGGTGTTGCTCTACAAGCTGACAAAGCAGCGGAGGTACCGTCTGGAGATCGAGGACATCATGCGCGACTGGCTCCCCGGGGGGTCGGTGGACTACACCCCGAAAGGCCTGGCGTTCAGGATGAGATGGGGGTCGCTCCGATATTCCGGTAGGGTTGTGTGGTAGCACAATATCTTTTTAAATCAGTTTTTAAAAGTTTTTTTAATGATTGTTTGAGTGACTTTGCGGGTGGCTGAATTAGTGTGAGAGAATGATTGACGCCAGTTGTGGATTTTATCATTTGACTGAAACTGCACGAATATGGTTAAAACAAACCAAATATATAAATCGGGGTGAATGTGGGAATAGGACCCACTATCATAGAATCCATGCACGTCTAAGGGAGAAAATTCAGCGGCAGAAAAGTTAATATATTGTGCTCTTGGATATATCTCTGGCGTTTGGTGAAAACAAAGGGTGGGTCAGGCTGTCGTTTGAGGCACTTTGAAATATCACTTCATGGATGTGTATAAGATAAGGTATTTCAACTCAGGCACTACTGATTATACTTTTTAATGATTTTGTTGTCACTAACATTCTGTATTTCTTGTCATTGCCTCACGACAGTCTTGAAAATAATCGAACCTGTTCCAGAGAAACAAATGGTTGATATTGTGCGCAGACCACGTACCTCATGAGTCTTGCTAGGAAGACATGTCTGAGTGTGGGTATTCCCTGCTGGACGCCCTTCAGGGGATGGTGGGTAGCCTAGTGGTTAAAGCGTTCGCTCGTCGCGCCGAAGATCCGGGTTCGATTCCCTCATTGGTACAACGTGAGAAGATTTCTGGTGTCCCACTTGTTGGAATATTACTAAAAGCGGCATAAAACCATACTCACTCACTATTGTAATCAGATTTTGTTACCACACGATTCCCTTTCCCCAACAGCCCAGTCACGTGGCTCGTAATTCGCGGCACCACGGGGTACTGCACTGCGGAGTTTGAATGTAACGTACCATTGTGATTCCATTGCAGCCAACATGGCGACTGTTGCCCTGGCTGCAGCTAACCTGGGCGTCAAACCAGACTTGTACCGGAAGTGGGCCCAGGACCAGATTCACTACATGCTGGGGGAGGGGGGCAGGAGCTACGTCATCGGCTTCGGGTTCAACCCCCCGACACGACCACACCACGCCTCCAGGCAGGTCATGTAGGCTAACACCAATGCAGAAGGTCCATATTCCCAGAACAGTATCACAACGTCTTCTGTGAATAGAATCCACGACAAGATTAAACTTCAGACATGATAACTACCCTCGTTGCAACAAAGTCCACATAGGCCCGTGTGCACAAACGCGTTTTAGCTGGTTGTAGGTCTTACAGGTGTGGACCAGTCTTAGTGCTTATATCGATTTGAAATACTTCAAAATAAGTTGTCCACACTATAAATAAAACCTTTTCTATATTCATCAGAAATCTCTGGTAAAGGCAGAGTCGAATGTACGGTTCCGACTAAATCATGAGCATATGTTTATGAAGCATATCAACTAGTGATAATAGCAGGTGTTTGCGAAAGGTGAACGTATCCTGCCCAACCGGTGGGACCCGTCACAAACACATGCAAAGGCCAGTGAAATGTTCACTTGAAAAAATCACATGGGAACATCTAGTACAAGTAAAAAAAGGGAATTACATCGGACATCATTTAGTCACTGTTTCGGGAAATTTGGAAATGCCCTTTACATGTCAAAAATATTTTTTTTTTAAAAATCTTTGAGGCCTTGACTGTTGTAACCCTGGATACACTTTAATCTAACTACCGTACTGAATACTAATCTTTCAGTTAAATGTTCGCCAGTTCTAGTTGCCATTGTTATACTTTTGACATTCTCTAAGGATAAATGGATTCTTTTTGTATGAAATATAACTCTGTAAATAATAATTTGAGCACAATGCATGTCTACAGCAGTCTTTTTCATCAACTGCATGTCTTAATGAATGATTGGATTCTTGGTCTGTAACACGCTACTAGAAGGTTTTATGATGTACTCTTCACAGCTCATGCGACCCTAGTCCCTGGCCGTGCACATGGTCGGACTTCTCCAAGTCAGAGCCCAACACACACACGCTGTACGGAGCTCTGGTGGGCGGGCCGGATATCTACGACAACTTCGTGGATGACAGGGCCGACTACATCCACAACGAGGTGACCACCGACTACAACGCCGGTTTCCAGTCAGCTGTGGCGGGTACGAGCCGTTGTCATGTCTGTAAACCTTCTGGTGAAGAACGGGCATGCTTGCTCTGTTATGCACCGCGCATGTTGCACAGGGCTCCATGGGGCTGGACGGCGATAGTGCTTGCTGGGTGCATAGTGTTCCTGCGGGCAATGTTATATAACGATGTCACATCCATTGACGTGGATCATTGCTCATGATACTGATCACTGGATTGTCGGGTCCAGACTCGATTGTTTTAAGACAAAACCCATTCCATATTCATAAGAAGTCGATTGTACGATTTCAACCATCTCATGAACATGTCTTTATGAATCACTATAAAATAGTGATGATACCAAGTGTTTTTTCGAAGCGGTGAGCGTATCCTGTCCACCGGTGGCACCCATCACAAACACATGCAAAGACAAGTCAATTGTTCACCTGAAGAAACACGGATACACATTGTGGAAAGAGCTTGCTCGATTGTACCTCGAAAGTTGTGAAATGTAAATACCAATAGCTGGAGCTGCTGGAATTATACATTGTTTAATTAAAAACTGTGTCTGGTGGGTGATACAGGTAGGGCAGGACCAGCCTACCCTTTTAGGAACACCTGGTGTCATTAATGATTTTCAGTGATCCATTCATAGTTTCATCACTATTTTTCCTATTACCCCCAATGGAACCCGTTTGGGATATAATCGAGACTGGCTATTCTCTGGCGTTGACTCTTTATTTTAAATGCCAGATTTTCATAGGCTTGAACATTCAACCAAATCTAGCATCAGGTGTAACCCTGGACACCGAAGCTCTGACCACTCATGTTACATTATCCCAACCACGGTATATTCCTGCACACGGACGTGAACAAATACACCCCTTGTGTTAATCAAGTCTAATCAACTTCCACATCATTCCAAGATGAATTAATATATTTAGTCGCTATTCAGAATTAAGGTTGGCCCTGCCGAGTGGTCGAAATTGTGACTGCTGTGCACAGTTGCATCCCTTGTCCAAGACAGAATCCGCTAGTAGTGTTTTTTATTCCTGATAATGATCCTTGGTGTTTAGAAACAGTTTTGGTATTTCTCCCATATGATTTGTTTGTTTGTTTGTTGTTTAACGCCGCACTCAGCAATATTCCAACTATATGACGGCGGTCAGTAAATAATCAAGTCTGGACCAGACGATCCAGTGATTGACATCATGAGCATCGATCCACGCAACTGGGATACGATCACATGCTTCAACCAAGTGAGCGAGCCTGACCACCTGATCCCGTTAGTCGCCTCTTACGACAAGCATAGTCGCCTTTTACAGCAAGTATGGGGTGCTGAAGACCTATTCTACCTCGGATCTTCTCGGGTCTTCACGGGTCTTCACGGGTCTTCACGGGTCTCTCCCATATGAAGCGGACAGAACGTGATACATGACATGGTTGAAAGGGGCTTATAATCTCAAACACTCAACCTTTTTGTCAAATATGGTAACAATTTTTTCTTGAAACAAACTACTTTAAAAAAACAGCCCTCTTCCAAAATATCCAACGGTCGGTTCCTATATTAATGTCAATGTGTTTCAGGTCTAAAGCTACTGGAGATGAAGAAGCAAGCGGCCGAGGGCAAAGCGACCATCAGCTTATCCACACCGACGCTAGCCGAGATACGATCAGTTGAAAAGCACAGCCAACCGCTTGTTCGACTTATCAGAACTTCGAAATAACAAATTTCCATCAGTTATGAGTGCAGGACAAACCATTCCGTGTTGAATTGATATACAACATAACGCCTCATATTCGATATATCCGATTTTCGACTTATTGGAACATATTGTCGTATAATGCGTATATTGAGAAGGAATCATTAGCTGTTTGTCACAATGACGTGATCACAAGTGCAAATAGAGCGGTGCATAGTCGAACGAGAGTGTGTGAAGCGCGTGTAAAATACTGTACATTCCCTCGGTGTCTCCATGTTGTTGGTGTACTATATTGACAGTTGTATATAGTGTGTATATATTTTGTACCAAAGTGTATAATAAATGATTGAATAATAAATGTTTGTATTTCTTGGTTTTAAAGAAAACCCAAACTTATCTGGATTTTTCATGTTCTCTGTCAGAGAGGGTATATTTTGAGTTATCACCTGGTTAAGGTGAAACCGATACCTGGGGCCACGTGCGAGAAGGTGCGCTTACTACTGACCAATTTGAAAAGCGAATATTTCTCCTGTCACTTATGTTTACCTTTCTCAAAATCATAAATGAGTAAGAATACAAACGTCAAACAGTGATCTTGTGTCCAACTGCTCTTATGTCTGAGTGCTCCTGTGGCCTAGTGCTCTTATGTCTGAGTGCTCTTGTGACCAGGTGCTCTTATGTCTGAGTGCTCTTATGACCCAGTGCTCTTGTGACCTAGTGCTCCTGTGGTCCATTGCTCTTATGTCTGCGGGCTCTTGTTGCTAAGTGCTCTAGTGATTTAGTGCTCTTGTGGCCCAGTGCTCTTGTGGCCCAGTGCTCTTGTGGCCGCTTGTGGCCAAGTGCTCTTGTAGCCTAGTGCTCTTGTGGCCCAGTGCTCCAGACTCGATTATTTACAGATCGCCGTCATATAGCTGGAATATTGCGGCGTTAAACAACAAACAAACAATACCAAAGCTATTTATGTTATATCCAGCAAAAAGTTTCTACTCAGCTTCATGTCTCTACATTAGTTGATAAGATTGCTATTCTTCCTTTTTATCGTAACACCTTATATTTAAACGAACATTAAGCTTTACCGGGGTCTTACTATTGGTGGTACATGTTTAGAAATACTTCTTTACATCTCTAGACATGGCATTCGTTCATAACTGTATCGTAATTACTTCATATAAAATGTGTACTTAGGAGATAAACCTACTGTGTTTTGAAATTTGATGTAGTCCCACTGTAGAATAGATACCTGTTTATTAAAATTTGGAACCTCGCGCTAAAGCGCTCGGTTCCAAATTATAATGAGCAGGTATCTATTCTACAGTGGGACTACATCAAATTTCAAAACACAGTAGGTTTATCTCCATTCTACCATGACGGCAACAACGCTTTGAACATGGTGCTCTCTTGCAACGCGTAATCACACAGGTGCACATGCAGGTCCGCAATCTTAGAACATTCCGAAAAGTGGTCACAGGTAGTTATATATGTGACAAATATTACTAAAGTTTAAGATTAAAAAACACCAAAGTCGTGAGTAGTTCATAATAAGTATTCAAAACACATAGTTTTTCAAACGAAGTTGACAAATAACACTCCTAACTTAATCCAAAGAGAGATGTTTTAAGTTCTATCAAACTGTTGCACACTGTTGAACACTGTGGACTTGGCTGTCGTTTCTCGGAAATTTGTGAGAGAGGTCATTTCTTGGAAATCGAACATGCCATCATTTCTATTGTAGGGGTGACGGGTAATAGAAAAAAGGTTTTAAAATGCAAAACGAATATATTTCTACAGCAAACTTTATGAATTAACATTCTAATATACACTTAATATGTCTAAGAGTTATTAGTTAGATAGCAATTACCCCCAGTAAACAATAATAACATCAAAGTAAATGCCTCTCTGTCCCGAACTTGGATGTGGCAGAACTTGACCTAAATCACGGTAATCACACCTCACAGCTGTCAATGGCTGACAATCATGTGTTTACATTAACTTGATCTAGTTAAAAGAAGCAAGATGACAACCCCGATCTATGATGTGGTTCAACATTTACCTGTAGATTTACTGGGATTGATCGAGCCTGCTGGTACATCCATATGATTACTAATGGAACTGAGTATGACTGAACAGCCGCTGTTTAGGCTGCAGACGAGACGGATATTTTGAAACGAGGAATCTGCATGGTGTGACCTGTCAATTTCAAGATTTCACGGATCCAACGCCAAAAAGTGACAGAACTTAGACATTTCTGGTCCAGAAATAGTAGGTCGTGTATAATTTCCATAATTGTGCGTGTTCTGAAATGAATTTCATCAAGTTTGATAAGCTGTCACTTCAGTTGGGACATTGTTTTCGTGGACTTTCGAAAGGGAGTGTTTTCCGATGGACTTTCAAATTCCCACCTGCCAAATTCTAACGGTGGTGGTTGACGGAGATGGCAATGGATATCGATCAGAAAAAGGTTTGTAAACACCATGTTGTCATGAATAAAATGTCTTCAAACACATTTTATTCTGTTATATTTCACTTTCATTGTCGGTTGTTTCAATAATGAAATTAACTGTTCGTGGGTTTCAGAAAAAGCTACCAAAAAAATGAACAATTATTATTTTCTCAACAAAATTTATGAGATATCACTCTTTCACTAATTTTGAATGTGTGAATCTTTTAATTATACCTCCCCACCCTGAAATGAGAACCGTCCTAAAGTGGCCCGGTTGTCACTGTATCTGCACTGCACTCTCAGTTATGGCTGCCAAAGAAATTGTTAACAGTAACAGTGCTGTTAAAGAATTGCAGGAAACCAGAAGACAACCCAGTATTGATGCACAGTGTGATGCTGTTCAACATTAACACGTTGACTATCCCTGCTGATGTGATGTTGCTTTTTCAAACAATTTTTATAATGTTATATTTTACTTTCATTGTCGGTTGTTTCAATGAGGAAATAGCTTAAATTGTACCGATTCTGGTCACCATAGAACATTTCCCTAACAGTTTCATAAACATTTCATTTGTAAGCAAAAGATATGCCTTCGTTAAATCTTTTAATGTCATCATCGAAGCAGTCAGGGTTGCGGCCTATAACGCCCCAAACAGCCGATATCAAACTACCGTATTTCCTCTATTTGACACTATACGCCGTCTATTAATTTCGCGAGAGCCCTTGACTCAGCGTGTATTAGAGACCTGTCTGGTATTTGAGACCCAGCGTGTATTAGAGGAAATATAGATATGTTTTACAGTTCATATATTGGGGTGATCGATCGGCAGCCATTTTCTGTGAATCGATATGTAGGCTATCTATGTATTCATACGCACGTTTTTTTGTGAAAAGGCTTAATATATTTGAAAGGGGTTTCTGTAGCAAATTAACCAATCAGAATCAAGCATTCATCAATGTCATGGTAGAATATTTGTTAACGCTGTCTATGGAAGGACAAGATTTAGAAATGAAATAAATGAGTTTTAAAACTTGTCGTTTCAAGCACTTAACTGAATATATCTGAGACAACCACTGTTGAAATAACATAAATCCGACAACCACCTTAGTCTTTTCAGTTTTCTTCATCTAATTTTAACATCTAATTTAAAAATGAATAATTTGCAAATAAAAGATGAACAGCTGTGACTGACTTGCCAAATATACTTTTTGTGCAAAAGAATAAATATGTATTGGAGAGGTTCAATACTTTTTACAACTGGAATAAGCGAGCGCTGTTGTAAAGTCTACATTAATTGTACTATAAGACGCAAGTAGAAAAAGAGTTATTGAACTTATTTGAGTGAGTGAGTGAGTGAGTTGGGTTTAACGCCGCTTTGAACAGTATTCCAGTTATATCGCGGCGTGTCAGCTTAATGTGGCAGGAAAGCCCGAAGTGGTGCAGGTCTCAGACGTTTACCACTACGATGAAACCCACGAGCACGGGTATGGTGCTGACAAACCTTGAAACATAATCGGGGCGAACCGGGATTCGAACCCACAATCATAGGTTTCTGGCGTGCCCAAGGGACGCAACTCTGCACAGCGAATCGTGGCGCTTTAGACGACTGGGTCACCCGTGCCCCCGAACTTATTTCAACTAGTTCTCGTGTTCATGCGCCAATATGGACGGTAGATACATTCGGAACGCTTCTGTGGGAATTCACAATCGTCATTATGTTGACTCTTTCTGATTCACACGTGCTCGTCGTGTTCCCATCGGATCGCCTCGGCTTATGCACGACACAGCAAGGAGGACGTTTCTTATGCTATTGTCTAGCAGTACTTAGTACTTTCACCCAACGCTAAAGACCATTCCGATTGAAAACCAAACTTTAGCCTTTTGTAGATGGAATATCCGCAGGTTTGGCTACATCAATACCCCTGAAGCGCTCGTAAAATCCCTATATTGTTGTCGCAGTTGATTCTGAACCGGGAATTATCTTGCCATTCTGAACGCGAATCTTAAACTGACACAAATGTATGCAAACTTAAAGAGAAATCACATAAACACAATAACATGGCTTAAGTCGATGGAAGCAGTCGAATTCATTAATTAGGTAATTAGGCCATAGACCCAAGTACATTTCATACATAAACAGGTACATATTTCTGAGATTTGTTTGTTTGTTGTTTAACACCGCACTCAGCAATATTCAAGCTATATGACGGCAGTCTGTAAAGAATCGAGCCTTGACCAGACAATACAGTGAATGAAATCATAAGCATCGATCCACGCAATTGGGATACGATGACCTGCATGAACCAAGTCAGCGAGCCTGACCACCCGATACCGTCAGTCGCCTATCACGACATAGTCGCCTTTTACAGCAAGCATGGGTTGTCACGACTTCTGGTTCAGTCATATCAGAGTTTACATGTTTTATCGTGACAGTAGCAACAGCTCGCATGTGTGACTTGTTTCATAAATATCTGTAGAATCGAGGTTATCACAGTTCACGCGAAAATCAACCAGATCAAGAACTTGCTTAAAGTAATCTGTCCGCTGACCTTGAGTCATACTGTCCTTTACTTTCTGACTGTCTGGAGTTTGTGTGATTCTTTTCGGTATTGTTAGGTAAGACGCAAGGCAATAGTTTACACATTCATCTTCGTAAATACTTTTCTTTCTCCGACAAACACTTCTGTATTCATTCCGGATATGTTGATATTTTTTCAAAATGTTCGTATTCGACGTTAATTTGAACATGTCTATAGACAAAATGTCATACGTTTAGTCATGTTGCATTATCTAAATGTCCTGACTGACAATGCAGTTTCTCGACATATTTGACATTAAGAAATGTCGCGTTGTCACTGTCGCATAGTCCAAATTTCTTCAGTGAGATTGTGACCACACCACCTATTTTTGACACTAAGAAATGTCGCGTTGTCATTGTCGCATTACCCGTTGGTGAAAACAAACATCTTCAAAACGGGACAACGAGACTTGGTTTTGTATAGATGACAACTCGACAATGTTGCGTCTTGGATTCCACAAGAAAGTCTTACAGTTTTAAAATAATATATAAGTTTAGGTAAGTTAAGCCCGAATATAGGCCAAGGCTGAAGAATGAGTTGGTTATCAGACAGGCAGCCTGTGAACAAAGCCATCTGCTGTCTAAACTTAAAGTCTATATATAATCTGGCCGACTCTATCTTGTCATTCCGGTCACTCCAAGACAGGTGAGCCAACATCACATACTGTCTGATCATTTAGTTATGTAGTGAAGAGGAAGGTATTTATACCTACCTTTAACCAGTTGTACGTTGCACTATGGTTACTGACGAATTCTTTAAACGAATGATTTCGTTTTCTTTGAAGATTTCGACAGCTTATTTTTAGCGTTTCATATGAGGGTTAGGTCGGGGTGGGGATTAGGGTTAGGGTTAGGGTTACGTTAACCCTAACCCTAACCCTCACCCTCACCCATATGAGATGTTGGAATATATTAAAACTTTCTGGTTAGTGGTACTGAGATACGTCGTTGTGAATGTCCGCATAAGTGACCTTATGTCAGAAACACTCCGAAATTCTTCCATGGCAACTCTATCGTGTGCATTACTATTTATATGTAATCAAACACATTGTGTTATATAGTAGTGTCAAACGATGTTCGATACCTAAAATGCTGGCAAAAGGAAGCATTCACTCTGTTTGATGGTGGCTAAAATAGAACACAAGAGATGGTCATTCGATGGTGATGTATTTGATGCCGGTTTCTTGTTGTGTTTTGGGGCTGACGTTTGCCGTGTTTCGGCGGCTTTAAAGTTTTGGTTAAACCCGATTTTCAAGTGTGTGCTTTCTTTTGCCCGGCAATAATGTCTTAAACTACGTGTAGTAAAAAGCTTGTTAATATTGTTTATCAAAGATGTGACATGAGATGAAAGGATGAAAAGATGTGGAAACTATCTGTCGACGCCCAGTTGACGGTACACATGTTATGCAAATCCTTCAATCGACCGAAATCTGCACGGCAGTCGCCATGTTGTTTACGAACTGGTTGTCGATTTCGTTATGCGATTTTGAAATGCTCGTCAGTTTAGACAAAATACAACTCCGAAATTCCAGCCTAGTTCGGGAAGGGTGGAAACTGGACTTTTATAGTCAGTTAACTCCCTTGCCTCGGGAGGATGTGGGAGGATGGAGAATATTGACGAACATAAATCAGAAGATGACTACACGTTTTGACGGATTGATGTCTTTCGTCACCAGGAACCTGCGCCATGTTGCCACTAATTCTTCTCCTGGTCGCTTCCGGTGCAACCGGAGATGACCAGTCTACTAAGTTTGAGTTGATGCAGCACTGGGACAACAACTTCGAGGGCAAGTTCTGCTTCAAACTGGCGACCGCCTCGGTCGGCTGGGAACTGGACATCACCTTCAACGTACCAGTGCAGGGGATTCAGGTAGAGTCTTGCATCAGGAAGACTGAACTCTACCGTCCTGAAACCTTTTTTTTCATTTTTTAAATTTTTTTATTCAGTCATATACACAGGATACATAAGCACTCGGAAAGCAATACAGCTTTATGAATACAGGTACTCATCAGGAAGACTGAACTCTACCGTCCTGAAACCTTTAAACGATTAAACCGTTAAACTGAGAAACCAATGATGTTTCAAGGAACCCACTATTTGTCACTCAGGGTGTATGTGATGTGTTTGTGTGTGTTGTTGTGGGTGACGTGAGTGAGTGGGTGAGTATGGTTTTACGCCGTTTTTAGCAATATTCCAGCAATATCACGGCGGGGGACACCAGAAATGGACTTCACACATTGTATCCATGTCGGGAATCGAACCCGGGTCTTCGGCGTGACGAGCGAACGCTTTAACCACTAGGCTACCCGACCGCCCCGTGGGTGACGTGAGATTTTGTTTGAGCCAAGTTATCATCGTATTCACGTTGTCGCTGCTTCAAGACAAAGATAATCAGGTACACAAATATATTAATTCTGTATTACCTGATCGCCATGCATCATCACCGAAATTAATTATGTATAATAATCATAAAATGTCCAATAAGGTTTCAGACGCTAGAATGTTGAACGCCGTTCTGTTCTATGCTCACAGCAATGGGACGGCGACTTCATTCACGGGTCGAATTCAGGGTGTTCCGACAAATACGCCATGGTCAACAAGGGGTCGAAGGGTATCCACGCTGCCGGGGATTCTGTATGCGTGCGCATGATGGGGAAGACATGTGGTAGTGGTGGTGCTCCCACCGGAACTGGTATCCTGAAGGATCTCTCAAATGACCACCAGACTCTGCCTAAGATCCCCCACGTAGCAGGTCGGTTCTACTGTGCCCTCACTTGTTCGCATTGCTTCGTTGTACCATTTTTTAACTGAACAATTGGCTTGCCTTTGCATGTGTTTGTAACGGTGAAACCGGTGGGGCAGGATACGCTCACCTATTCGCAAATACCTGATAACATCACAACAATGGACTTATGGCAGAGATTTTGCTTTGACTAAGGAAAGGGTGTTGTCGCTCTTTTGATTGTCGACTCTGTTTTATCTCTTTTGATAATGGAAATAATTCGTCGAATTTATTCACGGAAAAGCAGTTTTGGATATGTTACATTGTGTTTATATAGCGTCATTATTACCATACAAACCGTCTAAATCAACTGGGGGCACGGGTGGCCCAGTCGTCTAAGGCGCCGCGATTCGCTGTGCAGAGTTGCGTCCCTTGGGCACGCCAGAAACCTATGATTGTGGGTTCGAATCCCGGTTCGCCCCGATTATGTTTCTAGGTTTGTCAGCACCATACCCGTGCTCGTGGGTTTCACCGAAGTGGTAAACGTCTGAGACCTGCATCACTTCGAGCTTTCCTCCCACATTAAGCTGACACGCCGCGATATAACTGGAATACTGTTAAAAGCGGCGTTAAACCCAACTCACTCACTCACTCACTCACTCTAAATCAACTAGTATATAATTTGTTTGATGACAGTCCTACAGCTGTAACACAGAAGATGTCTTGTCATCAGTTACATATCCAACTGTTACATTACACCCTCACATTACTTTTGAAATCGAGACTGAAGGCTGATTTCCCCCTTTCTTTTATGGATTAAGTGGCAATCAATGGTTCTAGTGTTTGACATTAAAGTGTTAGCATACCTTTGTTATAGGGCAAGGCTTGCATAGTTTAACTACATGCTAAAATACATGCTGACAGACACAATGATTCACACAACTATAGTGATTAGGCAGTTTAAGTTTTATATTTTGTTTGCGAAATTCCATGTTCAAAATATGGTCGAAATAAAAATATATATAAAATCGCAAAACAATATTTGTTTAATAAAGTGTTCACTAAGTAGCATAGTTATCAAAGCAAACACTCCAGAACCAGTAAACAACAGTGACCTCTCATTTAAACAACCAAATACTCTCATTCATACAACCAAATACTCTCATTCATACAACCATGTACTCTCATTCATACAACCATGTACTCTCATTTACTCTCTTTTATACAATCATGTACACACATATATACAAGTTACGTTACGAGCCTAAACAATAGTCCTATGCCAGGGATACTGGTCTTAACAAACTGAGCAGGAATATCAATGACAATCCTGATAATATCAATGTTGGTCCACATTTCCCTCATTTATGGCCGGTTTATCCGTAAAGCAAATAATTAAAACAAATCCAAATGTCCCATGACACAGTGATATCGTGCTGCTTGCAGGTGCACAAAGCACCAAGTACAACTACGCAGAGGTTTTGATGAAGTCCATCCTGTTCTACGAAGCGCAGCGATCCGGTAAACTTCCGGCAAGTAACCGCATCCCATGGAGAGCTGACTCCGCCCTTGGTGACAAGGGGGCCAGTGGGGAGTATCTCACTGGCGGCTGGTATGACGGTGAGTGGTATTATGTATTCCCGATGTGAGGAGACAGACTTATTGAAACGATACAGATCAGTGTAATAATGCTTGTACTATTTCATTGTTTACATTCGCTTGTAATAGTTTGGAGTTGTGCACGGTCCGCTGACATAACACCGGACGAAATGTATTGTTTTACGTTCGTGTAAGTTCTTGTAAATCAAGTCATGAGATAATTGTAATAATGCCTCTGGATCCGTATGCACTCGATTTCATTCTCAGCTTCCTGTAGAGTATACAACTGAAACTGCATTTTCCCATGAATTTGAAAAATACTCGTTCTGACTGATCAATCAAAGATTTCAAATCACAACAGCCACTTCTGTTGAAACAGCTGATTTGGCGACCACACCATTGTGTAAACTAATATTTACTCATCATGGAAATTATCGGTAGTATGTGTGGCAAACCATTTTGTAAAACAAATCGACCAAGAGGGCGTATTTCAAGTTGTGGGGACAACAGATAACTTAAAATTAAAATTTGGCGCTTGTCCACATCGTTTGAGTCAAAATGAGAGGTGTTACGTAAATGACACATTGTGTAAAACTAAAACATGTAAGCCTTTAAAATTGTTCTAGCAGTGAGCCCAAGTCCTTTTGTGCTGGAAACACCTGTCATTTAATGTCACATAAAGTACACCAGAACAATGTGTGAGCCTTTCAGTGTCATACTTTGGTTTAAGGCTATTATCAGTGTTTTGATTGTAGAGCTAGGTTACCTGTAGGTTTAACCCGTGCTTAATTTAACTTTTTAAAGCTGTACGTTCGGTTCCAAACTGAATTCTGATTAGGTTTACAGGAAATTACAGCTCTTTGTTGAAATGACTGTGCTTTTACTAACATCGCAGCTGGAGATAACGTTAAGTTCAACTTCCCGATGGCGTGGAGTACGACGGTGTTGACGTGGGGGCTGTTGATGTATAAGGATGCCTATGTCAAGTCTGGTCAGCTCGACTGGATGTACCAAAGCATCAAGTGGCCTCTGGACTACTTCATCAAGTGCCACACCAAACCCAACGAGCTGTATGTCCAGGTGAGTGATGCGGCCGTCGGCAGTATTCATGAGCACCGCTTCACACAGCGCTCCTAGTTATAAACCCTTTGAAAGCCGTGGGGAATCTAGGGCAGAAAATACCCTCAGTATCCCATTCTTGTCATAAGAGCCGTTGAAGGTCATAGGAATCTAGGGCAGAGTAGACCCTCTGTATCCCATTCTTGTCATAAAAGCCGTTGAAGATCATGGGAATCTAGGGCAGAGTAGACCCTCGATATCCCATTCTTGTCGTAAGAGCCGTTGAAGTCATGGGAATCTAGGGCAGAATAGACCCTCAGTATCCCATTCTTGTAAGAGCCATTGAAGTCATGGGAATCTAGGGCAGAATAGACGCTCAGTATCCCATTCTTGTAAGAGCCATTGAAGGTCATGGAACTCAAGGGCAGAATAGACCCTCAGTATTCCATCTTGTTGTAAGATCCGTTGAAGATCATGGCATTCTAGGGCAGAATAGACCCTCAGTATCCCATTCTTGTAAGAGCCATTGAAGGTCATGGGAATCTAGGGCAGAATAGACCCTCAGTATCCCATTCTTGTCATAAGAGCCATGGAAGGTCATAGGAATCTAGGGCAGAATAGACCCTCAGTATCCCATTCTTGTAAGAGCCATTGAAGGTCATGGAACTCAAGGGCAGAATAGACCCTCAGTATCCCATCTTGTTGTAAGATCCGTTGAAGATCATGGGATTCTAGCGCAGAATAGACCCTCAGTATCCCATCTTGTTGTAAGATCCGTTGAAGATCATGGGATTCTAGGGCAGAATAGACCCTCAGTATCCCATTCTTGTCAAAAGAGCCATTGAAGGTCATAGGAATCTAGGGCAGAATAGACGCTCAGTATCCCATTCTTGTCATAAGAGCCATTGAAGGTCATGGGAATCTAGGGCAGAATAGACCCTCAGTATCCCATTCTTGTAAGAGCCGTTGAAGGTCATGGGAATCTAGGGCAGAATAGACCCTCAGTATCCCATCTTGTTGTAAGATCCGTTGAAGATCATGGGATTCTAGGGCAGAATAGACCCTCAGTATCCCATTCTTGTCATAAGAGCCATTGAAGGTCATAGGAATCTAGGGCAGAATAGACGCTCAGTATCCCATTCTTGTCGTAAGAGCCATTGAAGGTCATGGGAATCTAGGGCAGAATAGACCCTCAGTATCCCATTCTTGTAAGAGCCGTTGAAGGTCATGGGAATCTAGGGCAGAATAGACCCTCAGTCTCCCATTCTTGTAAGAGCCATTGAAGGTCATGGGAATCTAGGGCAGAATAGACCCTCAGTATCCCATTCTTGTTGTAAGAGCCGAGTGATCAGGATCGGGTCACAATGTGTGAGTTTCTGGTTTGTTGGTTCATATTCGATTATAAGCAGGCAGCAGTGACGTGACTGTGATGTTAAGAGACTGACCATTTGATATCCGGGTGCTTTGGTGGTGGGGATGGTGGGGGTCGTGATTCTGGGATTTGCGTGAAACATCATCCGTGCCCCCCTCGCCCTCCGCCCCCTCCCCATTCCTCCACCCCCAGTAATGGCTATGTTTTTCCACGAATATATGAACTTTAATCAATATGATACATGTCTACATGACCATCTGAAACACATATCAATTTACAATATGATTATGTACGCGCATGTCTTGTGCGCACATGGATAATAGTGACATGTATTTCCGCTAGGTTGGCGATGGCGGTATTGACCACGGCTCTTGGACCAGCCCAGAGCGCATGACCGGAAAGAGACCCTCCTTCAAAATCAGCGCTTCTTGTCCCGGATCTGACATTGCCATGGAAACCGCTGCTGCAATGGCTGCTGGTTCCATTGCCTTCAAGCAGAAAGGAGGTTGGGACATAACTATGTAATGCTGGTTCAAATTTGACAGGAAGTGTACATTTGTTGATTGAAGAAGGACAAGACAAATCTAAGTCTAAGTGATAACTATCTAAAAACGGCACAGGTGTGTCTTCTACGAACTCATCGTTTGTTAGCTCTATTACATCTTGTATATACAGCGGTTTTAGTAAACTATGGATCAGAGTTTTTCTGGATAGTGAATGTTTCTGTTTTTAAGATACTGCATATGCCAGCACACTCCTGACCCATGCGAAGCAGCTGTTTGAGTTTGGAAAGGCCTACCCTGGTAAATACAGCGACTGCGTCAGCGCCGCGGCTGCATATTACAAGTAGGTGACAGCGTCATGGTCAGGCTGATCATACAGGAATAACTCATCTCAAGGGGGCCGTTGTACAAAGCGATCTTAGCGCTAAGGTGATCTTAACGCCCATACCCTAACATAGGCTTACGACAGTCGTAGCGCTAAGGTGATCGTAACGCCCATACCTTAACATAGGCTTACGGCAGTCGTAGCGCTAAGGTGATCGTAACGCCCATACCTTAACATAGGTTTACGACAGTCGTAGCGCTAAGGTGATCGTAACGCCCATACCTTAACATAGGCTTACGACAGTCGTAGCGCTAAGGTGATCGTAACGCCCACACCTTAAAATAGGCTTACGACAGTCGTAGCGCTAAGGTTGTTTTGTACAACGTCACCCTGGCCTTTAGAAAATGGGGGTTTGGGGAGAGGGCTACAAATCAAAGGAAACCAGACATGGATGGCGGTGATACTGTTGAAATAGTGTGTATTGGGGCCCATGCCGATGTGTGATATCAAAATGAGTTTATGTTTAACGTAGCATCGGCAATATGGTAGTGTTAGAACCAAATGACCCCCCCCCCCCCCCCCCCCCCTCGCCATCGTTGTGTACATATCCCTTGGACGCTTTATGGAACAAAGAAATTCCGTGTTGATTCCGGGAAAGAACAGTTACAACATAGTCACCGAAGGACATTTTCGGGCACTGGTTTGTCTGGTCCAAAGTCGAACATATTGCTGTCTTGGTTTTGCTGATCTATTGCTGACTGCGGCGTTAAACAACACTCGCTCATTTACTAACCTGTATTTTAATGTCCACACAACTCGGTTCTATTCGTGACTAAGGTAGAAAGTCACTCACTTTACTTCTATGCCAGGTCCCAGGACGACGAGGACGAGTTCAGCTGGGGAGGGATGTGGCTGTACAAGGCTACTGGAGATCAGACCTACCTGGACTTCGCTGAGAAACACTTCGTGAACAAAACCGCCTGGGGGTTCTCCTGGGATGAAAAGATCGGCGGTGCTAATGTAAGTGGGAGACATCTGAATTAAGAAAACCGCCACATGTGTCGTATGTTGATGAATGAGTATGGTTTTACGCCGCTTTTATCAATATTCCAGCAATATCACGGCGGGGGACACCAGAAATGGGCTTCACACATTGTACCCATGTCTGGTTTTCGGCGTGACGAGCGAACGCTTTAACCACAAGGCTAACCGATCGCCCCCCACGAATCTTAGACAGCTGAGACTTTGTGTGAACGCTATAGACTAAGTAGCTTCAAGTTCTACGATGATTTCAAAGAGCGTAATACAAGTCTTGCTCAAAAGTTGTTTGATTAGGGTCAATGAATTTGCGTGAAGAAAGTTTGTTTAGTATTGTAGCAAAGTTGTTCGCTAGTTCACATTATGTTAAATATTACATAATAAGAAACATTATTGAAATGTGTCTGTCTTTGTTGTAATTACTGTTGACTACAGGGGGCACGGGCGGCCCAGTCGTCTAAGGCCCCGCGATTCGCTGTGCAGAGTTGCATCCCTTTGGCACGCCAGAAACCTATGATAGTGGGTCGGAATGTGATTTCTAAACACGGGGTATTCCGAACGATAGTTACGGGCTTAACGACTGAATCCATACAATCTAGAACATCTATCAGCCATTCCAGAATGTTCTTTTGTTCAGATTTCAAATTTCTAGTCGAGAATTTGTCAAAATATGTTTCGAAGCGTAGTCGCCAATTTGAAATTAGTGCCGTAAAGCACGAGAAAGCTGCCTTCTGATTGGCTAATGTCGACTTGTCAGTCGTTCCATTTGTCGGTCAAAGTTTGCGCAAGGTGGGTCTGACGTGACCCGTAATGAGTGTTCTCAGATCTTTGTTTAGCGGTAGCGAGAACCAAGATCTGATTTCAATGAGATTGAATCCCGGTTCGCCCCTGATTATGTTTCTAGGTTTGTCAGCACCATACCCGTGTTCGTGGGTTTCACCGAAGTGATAAACGTCAGAGACCTGCATCACTTCGGGCTTTCCTCCCACATTAAGCTGACACGCCGTGATGTAACTGGAATACTGTTAAAAGCGGCGTAAAACCCAACTCACTCACTCACTGTTGACTACAAATCCGAGTGACCTACAGTACACAGGAACCTTTTTCGGTATCACATTACATAAAAGCTATTACAAATATTTTGTCATCGGCTTATTTATATTTTTCAGATGCTTTTGTACATTGAAACAAAGAAGGACATCTACAAGAAGACAATTGTGGGAACTTTCCAGGATTGGTTCCCCGGTGGTAGCGTCACATACTCCCCTAAATGTCTGGCCTTCAGGTTACAGTGGGGCGCCCTCAGATACGCCTGTAAGTGGGACGCCCCTTCCGCTGGGGGTTATCCTTGGAGGAGGAGTGAATGAGCGAGTTTGGTTTCAACGGTGCTTTGAAAACTATCAGCTTTGTATCACGGCGTGTGATTTTTATGTGTAAAAAACCCATTGCCGGTCGTAGACGTTTGATTTTACTAACAAAACATGGATTTCCCATAAAACGAAGTTTGAAGACGCGAACAGCAGGTTCTGACACAACTAAGGGAAAGAACTCTGCATTGCAGCTCTTTGACACCACTGAGTTACCCGTACCAACACAATTTGTGGGACATAATATCCTCCAAACTCCATTATCAGAGCGAGTCTGGGATTCGAACCCAAGACTGTGTTTCCGCAAGAACCCTTGGAGAGGAATGGCAATAATTCCCTGCGGGAGTTATCAACGTATCATGTTCTTAGTTGTTCAAATTACGAACGTTTACCATTGGCAACTAAATTAGTATCTTGTATTGTGGTATATTAATCATAAACCGTTGAAATAAGATCAATTGTTCATCATCAAGGTCTTTCCGATACCTACCATTATATACCAATACATACCGATACCTACCGATACCTACCGGTACTTACCGATACTTACCGATACTTACCGATTCATACCGATACCTACCGATACTTACCGACACGTTTCGAGTTGTCCGTTCTGGACACTAACAAAGTTTTCTTTCCCTGACAGCCAACACGGCTCTTCTGGCGCTTGTCGCTGCTGACGCCGGCATCGACCCTGTAAATAACCGAAAGTGGGCCATGTCTCAGATCAACTACGCCCTCGGTGACGCCGGGCGCAGCTACGTCATCGGCTTCGGCACCAACCCACCACGACGTCCCCACCACCGAGCAGCGTGAGTTTGATACATCAAAAACGAAATATCCACCTCCATACTATTGTGAAACACCCTCAAATGTACGGCACGAAACAAAGTATATATCACCACAAATATTCATGAGCAAAATATGATAAAAAATAATCGAATATATGGCGATTGATCCATCGTTTTTGATCCAAATGTTTTTTTTGTTTTTTTAATGTGTTATTGAACGTCATATTCCTTAAAATATATTGCGTCAAAACAGTGATTTATTAACAAGTTCTTACGCTTTCATAAGATAAGAGGAATGCTGGAATACTAGAATACTGGAATACTGGAATACTGGAATTAAAACAGTGCCAATGAGGGTCCAAAATAAGGAAGTTTCACAGTTTATATGCAGGGTTGCGTCCCTTAACTCGCCAGGATCCGCTGGTCATGGGTTCGATACCTAGATTCTTCCCGATTTGATCCTGTGTTTGAAGGGACCATACTCCTGGTATGGATTTCACCAAAATGGTAAACGTATTCGGCATGCGTTACTTTGGGCCTTCGTCATAACGTTCACATACAGTTTACATCTTGTGATACAACATACTGTTCGATGCGGCGTTAAACCCAACTTACTCACTCACTCGAATCTCCCCAGGTCGTGCCCCAGCCTGCCTGCCCCGTGTGGGTGGGACGAACAGCAGATGAAGGTGCCCGACCCCCACACCCTGTACGGCGCCATGGTAGGCGGCCCTGGTAAGAGCGACGGCTACGTCGACGACAGGGGCGACTACGTCAAGAATGAGGTGGCGTGTGACTACAACGCTGGATTCCAGTCCGCCGTTGCAGGTAAAAATAAAAAACCAAAACAAGAGTCATTCTCATTTCTGAATTAGCCTGAGACCAGCCAAAATATATTTCACGACATATTATTACATATATGTATTTGGTTTTCGCCTCACGACTTGACAAGTATCCCATTTGTACATTACTCAACGTGTTCTTTTATTCCATCAACTGTAAGGTTATGGAACACTATTCCTGCAGCAGGTAGAAATTGTACATCTACATCCCAATTCGCATCATACATACAGAAAGAGCACTGTATTGTACCTCCATATTTTTCCTATGGTGTTAGGTTTATCATACTCGATTAAGATACATGAAAAGCCAGTTAAATTATGATTTATACAGAATAGAGATAAATTGTCAATGTGGTAATCCATGTCAAAACTGATTTCATTATATATTAGAGTGTCCATTGTATGTCCACAGTTGGAATGTTGCTGAGTACGGCGTTAAACAACAAACACACAAACAAACAAAAAGTAAGGATCTTAAAGTTACTGGTCATGATTCCTTACACACATAACCTGACTTTGTTTCCTTTTTCAGGTTTGGAACATCTTGCCATAGCCAAGGAACTGCCGTCAACATACAAGGATGTGTGCCCATAGGAATAAATGTATATAATTGACGCAATCTTGTTCATGTATTTCTGTAGACATCGTTCCACCAAGATGTTGCATTACATGCAGGACATTCACCGTGTACATTTGGCGATGATGAAACTTAAACAATATCTATTGTTTAGGCGAATACATGCAGAGATGCCGTTCAAGTCTTTCAAAAGGCCTTGAATGAGTGAACAGTATTCAATAAATTCGTATCAGCTTGATATGGGAGGAGTGAGTGAGTGAGTGAGTTTGTTGTTCAACGCCGCACTCAGCAATATTCCAGCTATAGACGGCGGTTTGTTAATCATCGAGTCTGTATCAGACTCTGCATTGGTTTGTATGGGTGAGTTACCTATCCTACACCGCAATTTCCCTTTTTTAAATTTTTTTACAAGTGGAAACTTTCCATTTTATCAGAAATGATTAGAAAATGCTGAAAAGATCACAGATGAACCGACGTCCTGCAATATGACGTACATTCCACAGTCGGACACATGCATACATACACTACCACAAACAACCAATCATTGTGCACGTTCGGACTAAATGCTGGTGCATTTTCTCTCTGAGGTGTCCTTTATAAAGGTGGATGCCAGGCACCGGTTCAATATTCACACTTGAGGGTCTACAGTTGAAGTCAATAATGTCTAGACTGCCGCTCTTGCAATGTTGCAGACCGGTTACTTTACAGTTAGTCAGTGTGGCTTTACGCCGCTTTCAGCAATATTCCAGCAATATCACGGCGAGGGACACCAAAAATGGGCTTCACGCATTGTACCCATGTGGGGAATAGAACCCGGGCCTTCGGCGTGACGAGCGAACGCTTTAACTACCAGACTACCCGACCGCCCCTAGTAACATCACAACTGTGCCAGACTTTTAGGATGTCATCTAACCACCTACACAACGTCTAGAGTTACAACACCTGCACATGATCGCTGTGTAAGGGTCACTTATCTCAGGAACAGAAGGCAAGGTGTAGATCAGAGGCCACGGCGAGCTGTATCAGCAGACGCCATTCAACGACGGCTCCATGCTGCATATATCCACTGTCGACCAATTTTGACACAACACCGTCAGCGACGTTTACAGTTTACGTTATGAACGTGACGCTGATTGCTGTCGTTCAATTGTTACGTATCGATTCCCATATTGAAACACTATGTTAACCCAGATGTTTGTACATAAGAGAACTTAGTGTGAAACGAACAACCAACCAACAAACAAGTGGTATACAATCAACAAATGTATTACAAAAAATATTTGTACAAATCAGAAACAAAGGTTTACAAATCAATACAAATTACTACACAGAAATTACTATGGAGTACACACCAGAGAGGTAGTACAGTATTCCATGGCAATATACAATGTGATGGCAGTGGACAGTATCAAATAAATACTTTCAGTGGTGAAAGCAAATTCGTGAGAGACGAAATGTGTGAGAGACGAAATGCGTGAGAGATGAAATGTGTGAGAGATGAAATGTGTGAGAGATGAAATGTGTGAGAGATGAAATGTGTGAGAGATACCTAAACACGCTCTAGTCCCACTATATATACAGCCAAACACTGGAAGTTTCTATACCGTGGTCTCACCAATCTAGAACAGCACTAGAACATTACAGAACTTTTCATATGTTTTTATAACATACTATGTGGTTTACACACCACATTAGCATCTAAATATAGTTACTTCCTGACGACCGATCGTACAGATTGGGTGGTGGAAGTGGGAAGGTTTGGGAAGCGTTCAGCTACAACAATATGTCCCTAGATCCCTTAAGTCCCCATAGGTTCTCAGACATCCTCAGGTCCTATATAAGGATTCGTTCCCAATGACAAAGCCTCAGATAACAATTATATGTAAGCATCACTACATTAACTGTTTGAGCAAAGAACTTGGTATAAATGACATATGAAATAATGCCACGTAGAAGGCCAGTATGTTAACTGAAGAAGACATCTGCCAAAACCATGCATCAGTACTAACGACTTTGGTTTGACTCTAGAACCGGAAGACATAAGCTCAATAAAACTCCGTACAAAGAGAGATATGTTGCTAGGCCAGCAAATGTACCACCAAATCCCTGTCTCAAATATTAACCATAATCCTGATAACATTCAAGGAAGATCTTCTATGTATTCAGAGGAAGTATTTGAGAAATGTTCAATTTTGTCAACACATTTGATTTTTCATCTAAGTTCACCACTATTCCACATGACAAACAATCATTCCTTGATTTAGGGACTTTTGTTACAAAACGAGGTGACCATAGATATAGTAGATATCTATTGTCAGAGGTTCAGGGCAATTTGTCAGAAATGAAGCAAATGTCATCTGAAGTTTACTGAGAGCCGCTTGGCAGGATAAGGGTGAAAGTGTTGGCACGCCATGCCGAAAACCCGGGTTCGATTCCCCTTTAATGAACGTGTTCCCTTGTGTCATTGCGAAACGATAGTATTGCTAAAGGTTCTACTACACCAAATCAAAACCAGTTGGGACAGTGCGGTTTTCGTAGCCTTCAGTGCCAATCGAAAGATATCTGCAGGCTGTGATTGGAGGATATTCTGTAAGATTTTTATGTCTTTCAAATGTACATCCATCCAGTTATTAAAACTGACCATGTTTTTCTATATTTAGTACTGTCTTTTTCAACATGATGACTTATGCTGAATGTGACCACAGCTATTTTCAAGTAGGTGACATTTGGTGCGAAACTGGGGGTGGTGTGTTTAGCTTCCGGTACTCGGAAAAGGAGCTGGCTAAGCTAGTCATTTTTTATTTTTTATTGCTGCTCTAAGGCCAAACTGTGCACACACGTACAGGTAGTAGCTGTTGAATGCTTAGTTATTTAAAAAAAAATTATAACGTTACTATAGAAGTCTATGGGAAAACATTTGGTTGTGTGTAACCTGTAAGCAGCGTAAAATCACACGCATTCGCTCTTTGTGATTAAATCGAATGTTGTCAAATATGGAAATGTTTAATCACCCGGTTCAGATATGTGATTATACCAGATGTCTTTTTAGATAATTTTGTCTATGTCTCTAGAATTACCACTTGACTGTACTGGAAACTGGACGGAGGTCCTGGAATAGCCCATAAACTACATAACCTTTGCAAACCGCTAGCCCACGTGACACTCTTAAGCGAAACATGGGACATTTGTTACCAAACGTGACCATAGATACAGTTACATGTCTATCTTCAGAGGTTTGTCAAAAATGAAAGCAAATGTCATCTGAACTTACTGAGAAAATAGTATGTGAAAACCTTGGACTTCCTCATTGGTTACATCTGTGTAAATATGGGCGTAAGACACTTGGGTAAGAAGACGGCATCCCCACTGCCACCAACGTTAACTGTGCGTCCCATCTGGCTGAACTGTTTCTTCATGCATATGCATAGTTGGTTGGTTTGTTGTTTAACGCCGCACTCAGCAATATTCCAGCTATATGACGGCGGTCTGTAAATATTCGAGTCTTCACCAGACAATCCAGTGATTGACATCATGAGCATCGATCCACGCCATTGGGATCGATGACATGCATCCACCAAGTCAGCGAGCCTGACACTCGATCCCGTTTGTCGCCTGTTGTGACAAGCATAGTCGCCTTTTACAGCAAGCATGGGTTGCTGAAGACCTATTCTACCCGGATCTTCACGGGTCTCATGCATATGAATAAGATTGGCAAAGTCAACTGAATCATCAAGTTTATCAATGCTTTAATATCGTTCAGTAACCATCCAATAAATAATCCCTTCCACTGATTTATTGTCAACACATGTCAAGTTGATTCACACAACAAAACTCGGTTGCTTTATATTGATTCATAAACACATACTCGTGATACGATAGGAATCGCACCATCGAGTCTGCATTTAGTGTATTTCTTGTGGCTATGGAGAGAGTTTTGTCGCTTTTTAATTACATTTATCCACGAGTGTTGATTTGTTCTTTGTCAAAAGGGTTAGGGTGGGATCATATATTTTATTCAATATCATCCAAAATCATTCAGTACAAAAACAATGTGAAATATTGTTTTGAATGTCTTTAATGTCTTTAATGTATAAAATGATAAATTGGTTAACATTTCCATCTGTTTGGAAATGCCGAAGATATATTAAGGTGACATTCCCTTAATACGTCTTCGTGAAAAGTGCTGTTAAATTGTAACGCTACCTTGCTGAGACGTCACAGTTGGCCTTGTACTCAATCAAATACTGACTAACCTAAGAGTTCGGTATGCTTGCAATAACTTGAATAATGGATTTTACTATAATCGTAATAAAACATTTGTGTTACATTTTTGAACATTTAAAACACAAGCTATCAACTTTGTCAATCGACCAATGGTGATATATCGTCGGGGATATCGTTTGATAGGTGATAAATGATATATACAAGTTAATGTGACCTATTTCTTCAGAAATAAATATCCTTAAAAAAGTCCAAAATAATTTGAACTGGTAGTACGGTTTTACCAGTATTGATCCAAACCTTGAACATTGCATAACATATTTATTAGCTATTTTACTAAGCGATACCAAATAAAGGCAACACAATCTATTTCCATTATCATAAGAAATGTCCACTGAAAGCAAAGTTAATTGTACGATTCCGACGCTATCCTAAGGTTGTGTGTATGAATCATTGTCATATAGCGATGATACCAGATGTTCGCGAAAAAGTGAGCGCATCCTGCTCAACCGGGGACATCCGTTACAAATACATGCAAGGGCAAGTTAATTATTCACCGGAAAAAAGGGAATATAAGGCACTTTGTCACTGATACCTCAAATTTGGAAATGTCCTCCACAGGACTACTATAAATCATGTTTGAAAACTTTACCAAGGCCTTGAATGTTGTAACTCACATCACGTTTGAGCAAGAGTTGCATGACGCTCTCTTAGATCTTCGTGGAAAATATATGCTGGGTTGTATCTAAAGAGTTGTGACGTGTAGACAACATAGCTAAAGGTGCTGGATTAGTACTCGACATAAAGTGGGTCTTGTGTAGCCACTCATGTCACTCTGAATCTTTATACATAGATCTATACACTGCTATCGTGCATCGATATATCATACATGAAATATATCACGAAACAGCGTTGTGAAAAGTCGTCATGCATTGATGATATTATAACACAGCGTTTGAAAATTACGATCACGTGCACAAAGAGTATTACGCCATCCTACATGGATGATCTCACAACAAAGAGTTATAAAAATAAAGTTTTCGTAAACACATATCACTAGCATATGTGTTATGTAAACACAGTTTATGTACAGGGAAATAATCTCTGATTCGAATCCACAATACTAAGATCCTGTCAGGAGTAAGGGAAGTAACTCTATATACACCGACACCGACATGGCAGATGAGTAAGAAATATTTCAGTTAATTTGTCACTTTTGCAATATGTCATGAATATATTTTGAAATCGTTATCAATAATTCAAAATACGACTATGCTACTTTGGTAAATAATTCTGGTGGAATTTATATGCATCAATAGATGACAGGTATGTACAAATAAGTTCTTCTTTGGACACCCACAATTACCCCAACCCAACCTCTACCCTCACCCCTTAAACTATATACCAAATAAACTGGTTTTCGTTTGACAATACTGAATACCTTATCCCTGTACACTGTGTTGTAATGACGTCCACTACAATACATGCTCTGGCTCTGTAGAAACACCAACACGACAGGACATGAGAGCGTGGTCTGACATATTGTGTCTGTCTATAAAAAGAATGTGAACTCGCAGATGGTACCAACTGTGTTATCTATTATAACACGGCACTTGCTCTACTATATCTGTTGTTTGAGAAGCAAGAGAGAAGGTAAGTTAACTATATCTTGAAAAATACTAAAATCAGAATATTTTTTTCTCAATCAAAAAAATAAATAATTTAATAGTACATGTAGCATGAATATCAGAACTTGAAAGAAGGAAGTGGTGTCATATAACCGCAAACTCATAAACATTGAAGAAGAGTTTATCATATTGCTTGTAGCACTGTCTATTTTTAGTGTGGTAAAATGGGGTTTAACGCCTCAGTTCAACAGCAATGCACTTATTTTGCAACGTGCATGCACGTGTGTGTGTGTGTGTGTGGCTGCTTGTAGTCCTGACTATTGCCGGTTTTATAGTGCCAGCCCTTTGAGGTACCAAGGTCAGTAGGACCGCCTCCGTGGTCTAGTGGTAGTGTCGACCTGGAGAGCGGAAGGTCTAGGGTTCGTTCCCCGGCTGCGTCATGTCAAAAGACGATAAAGGTGGTACTTGTTGTTACCCTGTCTGGCGCTCGGCATTAAGGGGCTAAAACAAGGACTGGTCGGCTTGGAGTCAGTATACTGTGTCTGAGTGGGTCGTTCATGTTAAACTGCGGCATGGTATCTTTGTTTGCAAGCACTATAAAAACGGCATCAGCCTGGCTGTGATGAGGTTGCTCATAATGCATAGATATATATTTCCTTAGTCAGGTGGGAGCAATTCTCTGTGCAGATTTGCGTCCCTTGGGCACACCAGAATCCTATGATTGTGGGTTCGAATCCCGATTCGCCCCGACTATGTTTCTAGGTTTGTCAGCACCATACCCGTGCTCGTGGGTTTCACCGAAGTGGTAGGTGTCTGAACTGCATCACTTTGGGCTTTCCTATCACATTAAGCTGACACACCGTGATATAACTGGAATACTGTTAAAAGCGGCGTTAAACCCAACTCACTCACTCACTCATCAGGTAGGAAATGTTCCCTTTTACAGATGTTAGTCCCACTTCTCCTAGCGCTGGTGGCGCGTCATTCCATGGGTCTGACAATTCCCGTTACCCTGGGAAACCATTGGAGTGGAGGCTTCCAGGGCAAGTTCTGCATACCCTTCACTATTGACGTCACTTCCTGGAAAGCGCACATCACGTTCAGCGAACCCGTGTCATCACTGGAGGTACTATGTCACTCTTGTTTGCAATTGTCATCACTGTCAACTGTCACCACTGTCAACTGTCATCACTGTCAACTGTCATCACTGCCAACTGTCATCACTGTCAACTGTCACCACTGTCAACTGTCACCACTGTCAACTGTCATCACTGTCAACGGTCATCACTGTCAACTGTCATCACTGTCATCTGTCATCACTGTCAACTGTCACCACTGTCAACTGTCATCACTGTCAAATGTCATCACTGTCAACTGTCATCACTGTCATCTGTCATTACTGTCATCTTTCATCACTGTCATCTGGCACCTATAGATGCACTACTGACACAACTACTATCACTTTCTGCTCATGAACGATAAATTACCGTATTCGACGTAATAAGCGCCCCGCTCTAATAAGCGGCCAAGGCGATATTTGTTAATATATTGGCTAGCGAACAATCCCAATTAGCACCCCTTCCGATTGATCAATGTACACAAGACTCATTTATTCGTGTATAATACGCACTCGTGTGTTATATGCGTGGAAAATATATCAGTCGTGTATAAAACGCACAGACTTTTCTTTTGTATCATTTCAGGCTGTCAGCTTAAACCACGAAATTTACGATCTTTCAACTCTGTTTTTTTTCTCATCAAAATTATATTCTAATAAGAGCCCCCTATTTTTAATTTTGAGAGCGCCCTGGGGGCTTATTACGTCGGTTACGGAAGTAATAATACGATAGGCTCATCACAATAAATGCAGTACCTAACTGCCAAAAGAAACGCGAACCATAGAATCATACAGAGAAGTATGTATGTTGAGAAGAGATGTTTCCAGTGTGTACCACTTAATGACAAAACGGGGCGGTCGGGTAGCCTAGTGGTTAAAGCGTTCGCTCGTCACGCCGAAGACCCGGGTTCGATTCCCGACATGGGTACAATGTGTGAAGCCCATTTCTGGTGTCCCCCGCCGTGATATTGCTGAAATATTGCTAAAAGCGGGGTAAAACCATACTCACTCACTTACTTATGACAAAACTGACCATCAGTCAAGTGTTACCACAGTGTCTTCATTCTTATCACGATATTCTACACGTGACTTCCAAACTTTAGACGCTAATCCTGCACGAGCTTTATAATGTGGAGAAACCAGCGACCACGGGCTGGTGCAGACTAACCAAGAAACATAATAAGGGCGAATTTTGGACTGAAAAACACCACCATAAGTTTCTTGCACGCAATTCCGACGCTACTCAGCGAGCTAATAGCTACACCTTAATAGACGACTGGGCCATAATGTAACATGCACGTTATTTCTGTTATCGTAAAATGTATGAATTGCAACAAAATAAAATAATAAAGCAATAAAATAGGGCAAAAGATTAATTGCTGCGCCGTCATTACCATTAATGACTAACTGTGATTGGTCAGATCTGGCTTGCCGACATAGAGTCCAAGAGTGCAGACGGAAAGGAATTCGTGGTTGTCAACAAACCCTTCAACGGAAACGAGCATACAGGCGACGACCTCTGTGTCAGCTTCCTCGGGCACGGCAGCGGCGACATCGACCCTACCGCTACTGTTGTCGTTGAGAATATGCCCGATCCCACCACCCCTCCATCAACGACAAGCACCACGACTACCACCACCACAACAACGCCCACGACGACAAGGACACTTGGACCAGGAGAGAGTAGGTCTTCACCTAGTTGACACTCGCATAATGCAGTTACACATGATGCTGACGTTATACACCTTACATGGACGTAATACAGGTAGCATTGACGTAATACACGTGACATTGACGTAATACACCTGGCATTGACGTTATACACGTGGCATTGACGTAACACAGGTGGCGCTGTAGTAATACTCGTGACATTGACGTAATACACGTGACATTGACGTAATACACGTGGCATTGACGTTATACACGTGGCATTGACGTTATACACGTGACATTGACGTAATACACGTGACATTGACGTAATACACGTGGCATTGACGTAATACAGGTAACATTGACGTTATACACGTGACATTGACGTAATACACGTGACATTGACGTAATACACGTGGCATTGACGTAATACAGGTAGCATTGACGTAAAACACGTGACATTGACGTTATACACGTGACATTGGCGTCATTCCGGTGGCGCTGTAGTAATACTCGTGACATTGACGTAATACACGTGACATTGACGTAATACACGTGGCATTGACGTTATACACGTGGCATTGACGTTATACACGTGACATTGACGTTATACACGTGGCATTGACGTAATACACGTGGCATTGACGTTATACACGTGGCATTGACGTAATACACGTGACATTGACGTAATACACGTGGCATTGACGTAATACAGGTAGCATTGACGTAAAACACGTGACATTGACGTAAAACACGTGGCATTGTCGTAATACACGTGGCATTGTCTTAATACACGTGGCATTGACGTTATACACGTGGCATTGACGTTATACACGTGACATTGACGTAATACACGTGGCATAGACGTAATACACAATACACGTGGCATTGGCGTCATACACGTGACATTGACGTAATACACGTGGCATTGACGTAATACACGTGGCATTGACGTTATACACGTGACATTGACGTAATACACGTGCCATTGACGTAATAAACATGGCCTTGGCGTGATACACGTGGCGCTGACTTGATGACGTTTAACTAAATGGTCATGGACAAACAGAAATGGTATAAAGACAATATGCCTGACACTAGATAGGAACACATGTGACACTGAAATAAACAGATGAGATTGATATGAGATCAGTGGCGCTAACACACTACGCCTTTAAGTTCCAAGAAACAATGTAACACATTTTCTACATTTCCAGCATGGCCACCGACAACGCCACCACCGCCTACGACCAGTGAGTATGACAATCCTTGATGACACACTCTACAGCCACCTCTACACACTACTATTACTGATACACGGGCTTTTCAGCAGCAACAGTATTCCCTGCTACCTGGAGCGACCTTATATTTAGCGTGTTTAATGAACACAAGTGTCAACACTGTATTTTTAGTGATCCATCTACATACTATACTACTTGGTCTTTTACGCCCAATGGAATCTGTTTTGGCAGAAGATCGAGACGTTGACGTTGACGTTGACGTTGACATATTCTCTGGTGTTGGCGTTCTGTATTTAGAACGTCGTGACCGACAATTGAATATTCAATAGACACTGCATCAAGGCATACACTTTTTTTCTCTGAAACGAGGAGCCAAAACAATTATTTTCTTGAATTTCTTTTTCGGCCATCCAGTTTGTCCATCGAAAAGAGTTTGGGAGATAATGCCTGGGCAAAATATATTTCTTATGGGACATATCATTTAAAAAAAACATCCAGCCCCTCCCAGAATATCAAATGGTCAAAATACCTAATATGGTCGCCATAGCGTTTCATGCTACTGAACATTTGATAGGGATATTTTTTTATTTTTTTTATTCACCTTACATATTATCTTCAACCACCATGGTGACTGACTATTGGCGTAACATCGAACCCATCAGATCACCTACCCGTGAAGATTCCGGGGTAGAATAGGTCTTCAGCAACCCATGCTTGTCGTAAAAGGCGACTATGCTTGTCGTAAGAGACGACCAACGGGGTCGGGTAGTCAGGCTCGCTGACTTGGTTGAACCATGTCATCGATCCCAATTGCGTGGGTCGTTGCTTATATCAATCACTGGATTGTCTGGTCCAGACTCGATTATTTACAGACCGCCGTCGTATTGCTTGAATATTGCTGAGTGTGGCGTAAAACAACAAACAAACAAACAAACAAACAGCCATTAGATGTGTTTATGTATACATGTGTAACACCGTGACGACCCCCCAGCCGGCCTGCCATCACTGCACGTCCCCCACAACAGGACGGCCAAGCTGGACCTAATGCAGCATCACGGGGAGAACTGGGAGGGGCGGTTCTGCTTCGACCTCAAGGAGGAGATTGTTGCATGGGAGCTTATTATGGACTTTACGGTAGCGGTCAAGGAGATCACAGTAAGTAGGTGCAAGTGATCAAGGACATCGCGTTAAAACAGGCCTGTGTCAAGGAGAGAGTGAATGATTGAGTATGGTTTTACGCCGCCAGAAATGGGCTTTACATATTGTACCAATGTGGGGAATCGAACCCGAGTCTTCGGCGTGACGAGCGAACGCTCTACCACTAACCCCACCGCTTCTCTTTGATAAGGATGTTATACGCACGCACGCACGCACGAACGAACGCACGCACGCACGCACGCACAAGGATAATATAAGGGTCATATTATTTAATGGAACATATGCAAACGAAGGGAGATCAAATTTGAAGTGCAACAAATATAGATATCCTCGTGATGAGCTTGATAGTTCATAGTTTTGATTTGAATCGATAGTTGGGCTGCATATATTGATTCCTTATGCTTAGAATTTTGAGGGCGATTGGACCCACCCCACCACGTCGTGCTCCAAACACCTGACTGTGGTGAACAAACGCTCCAAGGGCGTCCACTACGCCGGCGAACACTACTGCATCCGGATGATGGGCCACGTGTGCGAAGACAAGGACCCCGACGGCACCGCCGTCCTCGTCGACCTCACCAACGACGCACAGACGTTGCCACGACTCCCCGTCGTAACAGGTACCCCGTTACCAATCAGATAGAGGTTCAATGTGTAGCTATGTTCAACCCAAAAATGTCAGACAAAGATAATTAAAGTCATACCCTTTATTGCCCCTAGATTATTGAGAGTAAGGAGAATTTACCTGTAATCAACAACATAAGTATCTATTGCAACACCTACTATCAACACTATTTGATAGTGATTCAGAAACATCTCCTCGTGATATGGGTGGAATCGTACAATCGACTCTGCTTTTAGCAGAATATAAAAACGGTTTTGTCGCTTTTATTTATTTATATGGTATGAACAAGAAAATTAGATATGAATGTTTGTTTGTTGCACACAGCAATATTCCAGCTATATGACGGCGGTCTGTAAATAATCGAGTCTGGACCAGACAATCCAGTGATTGACATCATGAGCATCGATCCACACAATTGGGATACGATGACATGCATCAACCAAGTCAGCGAGCCTGACCACCTGATCCCGTTAGTCGCCTCTTACGACAAGCATATAGACATGAATGACCTTCCATTGTTAAAAGTATTGTCATCGAGAATGGTAGCGCATGTCATGAAGAAATCCCTAAATTACAGGATTCGTATTTTCTTAAGGATAAAATTCACTGCGATGAATGTTGGGTGTTTAGATGTTGTTAGGAAGTTGTTCAATAATTTCGTGTCGGTTAAACTTAATTCCGAAAATTTTGAAACACACCAATAAAATTAATTGTACAAAATGATTAGGAAGCAAAGAAATCATAAAAAAGGCATAAATCATAGTAGCATTTAATACATGTTATCAACACATAGCGCAACATCTAATGCAGCAAGGAAGGTTTTTGAACTGGCGCGATCACTCGTGTATTTATATCGCTTTGCCTACGATAAAAATATGACGATCGCAGCTGTTTGTTATTTGCTTGAAATCCTCTGACAATTAAACCTTACTATCCCCTCCAAAGATTTTTATCCTTCTTTGAATCTTTGAAATGCCCCGTTAGTAGATTCGTAAGACTCAATAGCAGCATGCAATGCGATGGGTCTAAGTTGGCGATTGTTTGCAACAGGAGCCCAGGCCACCAAGTACAATTACGCTGAGGTGCTGATGAAGTCCATCCTGTTCTACGAGGCTCAGAGATCCGGGAAACTCCCCCCTGACAACAGGATCCCCTGGCGGGCTGACTCCGCCCTGGGAGACAAGGGAGATACTGGGGAGGACCTCACTGGGGGGTGGTATGACGGTGAGTACCACTGTACAGAGGGAGGGGGACTCGGCGTTAGGAGACAAGGGAGTAGACGGGGAGGACCTCACTGGAGGATGGTATGACGGTGAGTACCACTGTACAGAGGGAGGGGGACTCGGCGTTAGGAGACAAGGGAGTAGACGGGGAGGACCTCACTGGGGGATGGTATGACGGTGAGTACCACTGTACAGAGGGAGGGGGACTCGGCGTTAGGAGACAAGGGAGTAGACGGGGAGGACCTCACTGGGGGATGGTATGACGGTGAGTACCACTGTACAGAGGGAGGGGGACTCGGCGTTAGGAGACAAGGGAGTAGACGGGGAGAACCTCACTGGGGGATGGTATGACGGTGAGTACCACTGTACAGGGGGAAGGGGACTCGGCGTTAGGAGACAAGGGAGTAGACGGGGAGGACCTCACTGGGGGGCGGTACCACTGTACAGAGGGAGGGGGACTCGGCGTTAGGTACACAAGGGAGATAATGTGGATAACCTGACTGAAGGATGGTATGACGGTGAGTAAGATGGTCAGAATAGTAGGGGCACCACGGGGGAATATATTTGGGAGCGTGCGTGACTGTTGACATACGCTGCACGCAGGAATATTTCAGTATCTTGTTTGTTTATTTCTAGTCAGGCTAGAAAATAAATACTATATTTTGTTTCAGCTGGAGACAACGTCAAATTCAACCTCCCGATGGCCTTTAGCACAACTCTCCTGACCTGGAGTCTGCTTCAATACAAGGACGCCTACGAGAAGACGGGTCAGCTGGAGAAGATGTACGAGTGCATCAAGTGGCCTCTGGACTACTTCATCAAGTGTCACACCAAGCCGAATGAGCTGTACGCACAGGTAAGCGAACTTAGTATTTAGATACACGTTCGAACAAATAACGTGTATCCCAAAACCAGTGATATCATTTCAGTGTAAGGTCACACAATGGTATACGACTATTTGGCGTGAGGTGGAGATGGTTCATGAACTACATCCGCAGTAAGATGAGCAATCATTTCTGTATACTCAATATAGGCATCTCACATGCGCCGCGTCTGCTTACAATTCAGCATTTACACCCACAGCAACATCCACAACAACGTCCACAGGCACAGCCACAGCCACAGCTAAATCCAGAGTCACAACCATTTGAATCCAAATTTATATCTAAACCACAATCGGACATCAAAACTGCACCATATCAACATGATTCCATCGAGCGACATTTAAAATCACATTCGAAGTGCACCCACACCTGCTTTTGCATATACACCCCCACACAAATACAAAATCCCTAGCATCCACATCTTCATCTTCATCAGCGAACACATCCGCATCTACATCAACATCTACATCTACATCCACATCCACATCTACACCAACACCAACATCTAAATCCACATCCACATCCACATCCTCATCCGCATCTACATCTACATCCACATCTACATCTACATCTACATCCACATCTACATCTACATCCACATCCACATCCACATCCACATCCACATCCTCATCCACATCCACATCTACATCTACATCCACATCCACATCCACATCCACATCTACATCTACATCCACATCTACATCTACATCCACATCCACATCTACATCTACATCTACATCTACATCCACATCCACATCCACATCTACATCTACATCCACATCTACATCTACATCCACATCCACATCCACATCTACATCTACATCCACATCTACATCCACATCTACATCTACATCCACATCTACATCTACATCCAAATCAACATCCACATCCACAACCACAACCATCCACATCCACATCCACATCCACATCCACATCTACACAAACACCAACATCTAAATCCACATCCACATCCACATCCTCATCCGCATCTACATCTACATCCACATCTACATCTACATCTACATCCACATCAACATCCACATCCACATCTACATCCACATCCACATCCTCACCAACATCTAAATCCACATCCACATCCACATCCACATCCTCATCCTCATCCACGTCCACATCTACACAAACACCAACATCTAAATCCACATCCACATCCACATCCACATCCACATCCACATCTACATCCACATCCACATCCACATCCACATCCACATCCTCATCCACGTCCACATCCGCATCCGCATCCGCATCTACATCCACATCCACATCCACATCCACATCCTCATCCACATCCACATTTACACCAACACCAACATCTAAATCCACATCTACATCCACATACACATCCACATCCACATCTGACAGAGACTGCTTAAGAGAGCGCCACCATGTTGTGTTCCATCTAGGTGGGGGATGCCGGCATAGATCACGGCGTCTGGACCAGCCCAGAGCGCATGACCGGAAGGAGACCTGCCATGAAAATAGATGCAGCAAACCCAGGGTCCGATTTGGCAATGGAAACAGCCTCTGCCATGGCTGCTGGTTCCATAGCATTTAAACAAAAAGGTAGAACAGTTGATACTCTCTTTATCAGGATGTTCCATACCATATTACAGAATTTCCACATACCCAAGAACAATCATACCCAAGCTTTATTTCAACGCCAGTGTCATGGACAAGAAAAAAGGGCATAATTCAATAAACTACTCTTATAACGAGCACGCATATAACGAACTGACGGATATAAGGAACTATTTTTTGGGTCCCGGCCATTTGCTGTATATATGCTGCATATATATTAATAACGCACTACGGTTATAACGAACTAAAATTAGTGGTCCCTTTGCATTCGTCATAACCGTAGTTAACTGTACATAGAATCCTTACAATCTGCATTTTTCGCCTCGTGTAGTATCATAGATATTGTGCCATCTATGCTGCATATATATTAATAACGCACTACGGTTATAACGAACTAAAATTAGTGGTCCCTTTGCATTCGTCATAACCGTAGTTTACTGTACATGCATGGAATCCATACAATCTGCACCTTTCGTCCTGAGTAGTTTCTTTAATATATTGTTTACAAAAGAATGAAAGTATTATGCTGTTTTGAACTTGTGTTATGTGACCTGTATGACCTCTCAGACCCCGCTTACTCGGCCACCCTGCTGAAACACGCCAAGCAGCTGTTCGAGTTCGGCAGGGCGAACCAGGGAAAATACAGCAACAGTGTACAAGGGGCCCAGGGATTTTACACGTGAGTGGGAGCGCGCGGGAGATGTGTCCGGTGTTTGTTATCATGCGAAGTATGCGTGATGGAATCTGTAACGAATGTATGACGGATATGTGACGGATGAGCGTTTGGATGTTGAAGGTTAAGAAATCTTCTCCCTCCCCTCACTTTTTGAAAAGGGTGAGCGTAAACGTTGGAGGTAAGTAGGTTTAATGTTATCGTAAACAAAACTCCGAATGAAGATGTTGACACTGCTAGGGTTTTCGAAAGCTTTACGTGATGCTAACGACAATGACACTGATAATAAAAATGACGCCGTTTCTAATAAAACAAAGTGCATTAAGAAAATAAAATAGGAAATAATATAACAGTAACAGATTTCATAGTTTAGGAGAAAAAAACCAATTTAAACATATAGTAACCTGAATAATATACATGTCGATGGTAATGCAAATTATTTTCGACCTCGAGTATATTGGTGGTTAAGTATTTCATATTTGTCTTGCGACTCAGATCCCAGGATTACGAGGACGAGAACAGCTGGGGAGGTGTGTGGCTGTACAAGGCTACTGGAGATCAGACCTACCTGGACTATGCAGAGAAACACTTCGTGAACAAAACCGCCTGGGGCTTCTCCTGGGATGAGAAGATCGGCGGTGCCAATGTACGTAGACGTCCTGTCCTATATGCCTTTGTGTTTTTGTTGTTTAACAGTGATTGTAGCTGTGCTACACTGTTTCTGTTGAGATTCGATAGACGCTCGTTGCATGGTGTTTGGCTAGTGACCAGACGTCAGGAAGCTACTATGATTAGATGCTAGTGTGGTGTGTAAACATGCGTCCGGTTCGGTATGTTATAGAAACATGTGGAAAGTTCTGTGCTGTTCTTGTGCCGATAAACTGAGGGCACTGTCTTGAATTTTTGAACATTTGTGTATATTTTTCATAAACATGTTGTTTTTGTTTTGCATATCGTGTATACTGATTTGTAACCAATTCATAAACGAAAATATGTGAACATTATTTCAACCTGTCATATTATATACAGAAAATGTTCTCCTCTAATGAGATGATTTTTCAGTTATCCACAATCAAGTCAGGCTCTGATGAACACAGATGGCATCCTACCTCTGGCACAACATGAGGTTATCTAGATCATGTCCTCCAGGTTAACAATACCCCGCATATGGATGATGTATGAGTAATGTACTACAACTGTTTGTTGCCAGTTACTGATGTACGAGGCCACGAAGATGTCCTCCAGGTTAACAATGCCCCGCATATGGATGATGTATGAGTGATGTACTACAACTGTTTGTTGCCAGTTACTGATGTACGAGGCCACGAAGAAGGACATGTACAAGCGGGTGATCGTGGACACTTTCGTCTCGTGGTTCCCAGGTGGAGATATCACATACAGCCCTAAATGCATGGCCTTCCGGCTGGAGTGGGGGGCCTTGAGATACGCATGTGAGTCACTGGAATCTACTTCATAGCCTGGTGAAGGCCTTCATGTATACTCATGGACATTAATTAAGCACCACCCGTATATTCTCAGACCGAGCCGCTTCAATGAACTGGTGCATGAAATATGCAAACAGTTACAATACCAAATACATTATTTTGTGAAAAAGAAAGGGTTGAGGGAAATATACCCAAGATTTCCATGAAGTCATTTGTTTTATTTGATGTTACAGATTTGGTAAATGACTTAATTTCATCGAAAACATTACTTTTGTTGCACAGACGTAACTGTCAGTACCATGCACCCGTTTTGTTCACGGAATAATGTCCTGCAAGTCCAAATATTGACTTTCCACCAGTATCTTGTGTAACCTCCCTGAACCCGAACAACTGGTTCAAGACGCTTTCTCATTCTTTGGATCAATCCCTGGATTTGATTCTGAGGAATTCTGTTCCATTTTTCATGCAAAGCAGCAGTCAATTCATTGAGCGTATGGACAGGTGGGTCTCTTTGACGAACACGACGACCTAAAATAAACCCACAGATACTCAAGTGGTTTGAGATCTGGACTCAAGGCTGGCCATGGAATGGTCTCAACAGCATTCTGTTGCACGAACTGAGTGACAGCACGTGCTCTGTGAGGCGTGGCACTGTCATCCATGAAGATGGGTCTTGTGGCTAGAGGATGATTATCAAAAAGGGGGACAACAACTCTTTCAAGGATCTCCTGTTGATAACGAGGCCCATTAAGGTTACCAGGAATGGTGAACTCCATCTTGCAACCCAAGGAAATGCATCCCCATACCATGAGTGACCCTCCCCCAAAGGGAACCGTCTCCTGGATATTGCGGGGAACCATGGCTGTGTTCCTTTGTCTCCGGACACGTGTACGACATCCACCATATGCAATAAGAACCAACCCTCATCTGAAAAGTGAAACCTCTGCCATGATGCTCGAACACGTGGATTACATCAGGCAAGTCGTGCTTATTTGTGAGCAGGAGACAGTATAATACACTCGATGGGTCTTCTGCTGCTTTTAGCCGATTTCTGAGGGTTCTGAAGATAAGAGCTCGCCCTGGGAACCACAGTTGCTTTAAAGATGTGCTTGAGTTCCATGGACGGCGCCTAACAAGTCCCAACAATGTCTATCCCTTCTTTTTGTTATCTTACGGGTTCTGCCAGGTCTTGGACGATCTTTCAAGATATTTGTAGCCCTATTTTTGTTCAAGAGTCTTGAAATGATAGAAGGATTGCGCCCATGTTGACGTCCAATTTGTCTGAGGGACATTCCTGCATTTCTCATGCCAATAATTTGCCACCTTGTAGCCTCTGACAATTTACGACGTGCCATGACAATATAAGGGTACTGGATACGCAATACAAATTGAAAGTATAGGGTGTGACATGAAATGATTCAAAGCTTGACTTCATCAATGTTGTCGGTTTGACATTGCCCGTGCATTGCGCGTCGTTGCACGTGCATTACATGTCTCCACAAAAAGTCATGCTGTACAGCAAGATGCAATTTGTCACAATGATCAATCAGAAAAATGCTGTTTTTTTAATTCACAGAATTAAAAGTCTATGCATTGGGTGTTGCATAATTAATTTCCATGTATATATATCATTTTAGACCCGGTCTTTCTTAGGGTAATAAAAAAGAGTCGAAAGTGACACTGATTTCCTTATATGGAGCTCAGTCTAGTTTACTTTTCGGTGTTGAAAGTAACTGGTGTTTGTGGAACAAATTGACTTTCATGTTTTGATAATTCGAAATCGAACAAAATTTGAAATAAAATATTTTAAAAAGAATCCACTAGAGAAGGAGTCGTATATCTGTTGTTACGCATCTGTCATTGAGTCATCGAGCCCAGCCATTCGATCTATTTCATCGCTCCGTACGACAACCATAGGTTGCCTGTTCTAACTGTACATATGTGGATTATGGATTAAAAATCTAATGAGTGAAACCCTGAAACCAGAACAGAATAAGTGCATGATAAGCGTTCTGCCAGAGTTAGTGAGTGAGTTGGGTATAACGCCGCTTTTAACCGTATTCCATTTATATCACGACGTGTCAGCTTAATGTGGGAGGAAAGCCCGAAGTGATGCAGTTCTCAGACGTTTACCACTATAGTGAAACCCACAAGCACGTGTATGGCGCTGACAAACCTAGAAACATAATCGGGGCGAATCGGGATTCGAATCCACAATCATAGGTTTCTGGCGTGCCCAAGGGGCGCAACTCTGCACAGCCAAACGCGGCGCCTAAGACGACTGGGTCACCCATGCCCCCGTGCCCCGCGTGCCCCGCGTGCCCCGCGTACTGCCAGAAGGAGCGGCATCTCATGGCGTTCCTGTTCTATACCTGCCTTTTCTCTGAGACAAACACCCCCTTTCATCGCTCTGTGTTTACCATATATAGAGTTTATTATGCGGGTGTATGCATATTAAGGAACGCTCTTTTCTATTCCTCGAGCCAGAGTTTCGTAAATTCGGTCGATTGATATCACGAATATGATAACCTCCACAATAGTCACACTTTGTGAACAGCTGCATTGAAGATTTGGTCTTCGTTATTGGTGATGTGGTGAGGTGAGGTGAGGTGATGTGATGTGATGTGATGTGAGATGATGTGAGGTGAGGTGAGGTGATGTGATGTGATGTGATGTGAGGTGAGGTCATGTCTTTATAACGTTATTAATTCATTTCAAAATGTCAACAATGTCATCAAGCGTTGAAATCATAAATACAGATTTGCTTCGTCAACAGTTAGAACTATGTCGACCATGCCGTCCAGCGGTGACAGCTTTATGACACACGATCTTCTCAAGGACTCGCTTATCTTAAACATTTATACAGATACATATATATAGATATGATAAAAATTAACACGAGTCAGCGGATATGAGCTTATCACGATCGTTGAACAGAATAGAGACTTGTTCTTCGTTCACATTCAAGAATTATGAAGATATATTTAACTGTTCTTTGATACTTTGATACCTGTTCTATTTCAGCCAATACGGCATTCCTAGCTTTGGTTGCTGCGGACGACGGAATTAATACCGAGTCGTACCGGAAGTGGGCAATGACGCAGCTTCATTACGCATTTGGCGACGCCGGAAGGAGTTACATCGTCGGCTTTGGCGTGAATCCACCTGAACGGCCACATCATCGCGCCAGGTACAATATGCTGGATACAGCGACAGCGGGTCTTGTGATGTGCTCCTAGAATATCACAACTAACATTCTGTCACACCCTAAACCTTATTTCCCTTTTTGTGGGGCGGTGAAGTCGTTTCGTGTTGAAAGCTCGTCACGCCGAATATTTGAGTCCGATTTCCCACATGGGTACAATGTGTGAAGCCAATTTCTGGTGTCCCCCGCCGTGATATTGCTGGAATATTGCTAAACGAGGCGTCAAACAATACTCACTCGGTCACTTTCTCGTTCCCTTTTTTTGAATTTGTATTTATTATTTTCTATAGTCTTTTAAAACCCAATTGAAAGTACTCTGTGCTAAAGAATTACAAAATGCTATGGGCTCCATTTTCCTCCTAGATACCAGTAGACTTTCATATCTTCATATTTTATTTGTTAAATATGTTATTTAAGAATACGGGTGCACTGGTGGCCCAGTCGTCTAAGGCGCGATATAACTGGAATACTGTTAAAAGCGGCGTTAAAACCAACCCACTCACTCACTCACTATTTAAGACTACATAACCGGCCTTATCTGATATATTTACTCTATTTATCAGGTTTGTTGACAAACGCGCTCATTTCGCTGCACATTGTATCAAGAATACATGAATACGACTTTATTGCTACGTCGTAAAATAACAAACAAGTGTTTGTGAAAACGGTTTTCTTTCACAGATGTTATATACCTGAGCGAGAAAAACTCCCAAACTATTTGTTTCCGGAAGAGACTATATTAATGACGTCATACCAGCGTGGTATTTCAAGCGTGGCTCATGTAATTTGAGAACTGACATTTTTCAAAATTTGAATTTATCAAAATGCCACGAGAAGCAGTAAGTGAATGTCGCCATATTTGACACATTACTAAGTCACCATTCACGGCATTATTTTCTGTGTGTTTAGAATTCTAAATATCGGATATTTCCTGGAAAAATTAAATTTAAAAAATTGCATAATTATTATAACGAGTATCTGTTTTGTCATCAAGTCACTAATGATAATTCTGAAACGTCGCCGAAAAGCCTGGAATCGTTTAGAATGTTTGGAAAAACGCAAACACGAACGCCAAAGTGTACAAATTATTTGGATGAAATCAAGCAAAATAAAATTGGGTGTGGAAACGAACGCTGTGCTCGGAAAACTGTATTTGTTGAAATGTAGACAAAGCAAAATTCAGAGTTTACACATGTAGCATTCTCGCATATTTTGAGAGATCAATTCGTCTAATTGTTGCTTACATTGGCTCACGCGTTAGAGAATATTCGTGGGGAGAGTGTCGTAGCACGAAGTACGGAATAAAATATATATATTACAATGATCAGGTAAATTCAACAGAAATCGTGACAGTGTCCGTCCTGTGAGACGCCATGACTGTGATTTCTGACTAATTTCCTTGGTTGCATTGGAAAACAAATAACAGCACGCAGATTTTCTGATTGTTTCTGATTACTTACATGACTTATTATGTACATTCCCTCAATCAACGAAAATCCTCCTCTGAAAATCGACGCATTTGAAAAGTTGTTCTATCACTTCCGGGAAAACGTGCATATATGATGTATAAATGCAAGTTTGTGTGCATTTATTGAATATAAATGCAGGTTTTCGGGAGCTCTCTACCAATCAGAATTGCCTAAATTTGGGTAACAAATTCATTTTGTAATTATATGTAACGTGCTTGTAAAAAATCAAAATATTTATTATTCCATTCTTAATGCAAAATTCAGTCCAAAAGAAATGTCATGTGCTAATGGAAATTCAAACACTGTTTTACTTGGGCAGCTCCTGCCCCATGTTACCGGCCCCATGTGACTGGGAGTCCCAGACCAACAAGGGCCCCAACCCCCACACCCTGTACGGCGCCATGGTGGGCGGCCCCGGTAAAGACGACAGCTACAAGGATGACAGAAAAGACTACGTCAAGAATGAGGTAGCATGCGACTACAACGCCGGCATGCATGCCTCTACAGCAGGTGCGTGAACGTGTGTGAAGCTACAGGCTCTAAACATAGTTACAGCATCAGAGTGTGTGATGTGAACAGTGGGTGTGTAGACTGAACGTGCTGATTAGGTCTTGCGGCAACGATGCTACGCGTGAATCCGAAGATGGATTCTCGTTGGCAGACATATTTTATTGCATTGACATTTTATATTTTAAAACCCATCTTTTTACGCCTTATAGATATAAGAACTTCAAAAAAATCATGAGCAGTTAATCTTTCTGCTAAAGATGAATATTGCCGCCTTTCTCGTAACTTCAAACACTGTTTTAGTCTACCTTCTACTTTCACAGTGTAAACATACCCTGGGACGTCTACAGGGGTATTAACATATTACTAACTTATTTGGTGATGAGTTTTCAAGAAAAGTCACGCTTCCACAACCCTCTGTGCCTACCACTTGTATGTTAACTTTTGAAAAAATTGCACAACTCATTTTTTCTGAAATAAATTTGTAATCGTGCTTGAATAAATACCATTTACTCGGTCGAACTGGTACAAAGACAACAACATCCTCTACATCATTATTACATGGAGTCTAACATGTGCCTATGTTTTCCTCTATTAGCTTGTGCGAGTCGGGCGGGTCTGTGGTCAAGGTGTTTTGCAGCTCGGTGTACAGAGTTGCTTCCCTTAGCTGACAGGATCCGCTGGTAGCGAGTTCGAACCCTAGAGCATATCATGACCCTTGATCAGTCCCCATCCAGCCCGTACAGAATTCGTCTATGCGTCAAACGCCTACGTCCTCATGTGATATGTATGTCTACACATAAATCTACACGCCGTAACAACTGAAGTACTATTCAAGGCGTCGTTTACCTCTTCTCACTGACTCACTCTTGTCTATTTCAGGCCTAATGCATCTGGCTCTCGCCCACGAGCTCCCCACGTCATACAAGGAGATCTGCCCCTAGATGCAGCCTTCACACCGTCTTGACGCAACACCATAGAAGCTGGAAAATTTCTTCAGAAATTCAATTGTTTAAAGTGTGTTTCTGAAGTATGACATTGAAAGTTTACACAACCATGATACAATTCGGCCTGTGTCTTAGACAAGCAGATATATTCATGTATATTGAAAAAAGATTAGTTGTAAATATAACACGCCAGAGAATAATCAATGATAAAAGTGATTGAGAATATTGTTTTCAGCTTTCCACTTCTGACAAAAGCACACTTTGATGAATCACAAACAGACCCATGACATACTCACCGCCAAAAGAAACGCGAAGCACAGAAACATATAGAGAAGTATGTACGTGAAGAAGAGATGTTTCCAAAGTGTACCAATTAATGACAAAACTAACAATCAGTCAAGTGTTACCACAATGTCTTTATTTTTATCACAATATGCTGCACGTGATATCCAAACTATACACGCTAATCCTGCACAAGACACATGGTGCATCTCGAGTCATGGATCTATGACGTCACATGTGATGCGTTCATGAGCGTCGGTTCACGCAACATAACAGTATGTTCGTTTGTGTATCAAACAAAACTAATGTCTCTTGAACAAGAGTAATTCTTCATATTTTAAACAGCATGTATCATAATGGTATTCGCGTTTCTTTCGTTGGTGAGTATATTATTTATCTTGAAGTAGGAACCATAGCATTGTTCTTACAACACAGCTCTGACGTCAGCTCTCATGACGTCATCACGCCGTACACAAGGATTGGAGAGTCACAAGGAACACGTCATTACACACGATGCCATACCACCACTCATGTGTGTGTGACTACATCTTCCTCGTTACCTGAAATATTGGGTTTTTATCCCCCGTTTGACAGCGTCGTTTTGAATGAGATGAGGTGAAATGGAGTTTAACGTCGCGTCCAAGATTATTAGATTTACATAGCGGCGTGCATGTACGTGTGTGTACGTGTGTGTGTGTGTGTGTGTGTGTGTGTGTGTGTGCTTGTACTAGCATTTATAATACTAGCCCATTGAGATACCAGAGTTTAACATGAATACCACACTCAGACACAGTATACTGACCTCGAGCAGACCAGTCCTTGTTTTAACCCCATAATGCCGAGCGCCAGACAGGGTAACAAGAAGTACCATCTTTAAACGTCTTTTGGAATGACGCGGCCGGGGATCGAACCACGGACCTTCCACTCTCCGGGCGGACGCTCTACCACTAGACAATGGAGGCCGTCGCGTCGTTTTGGGGTGATCGATGACCACCTTTCAACAACTAAATAGAGGATGCCGTGAAACCTCGTCGACATAATATGACTGAAGACATGCACCATTATCGACCAACCATGGAGGATACTTATGGTGGTTGTCTCATCGAGTGACGTGATTTTAGATGGATGTGTGGAGATGTTGGACTCAGACACTACATTTTCGATAACTTACATTAGAAATTGTCATATGTGGTTTCCTTGCTACCATGACCTAACCAACCATAAAGGACTCGCATCTCAACACTAGGGAAGCTCTTACATGTCACCGATACTGGTGTCACCATAAAGTTTGCCCAAGATGCAAAATATCCTAGCGACTATCACGTGTCGGATGGTAGTGTTTGAGTGAGTGAGTGAGTATTGTTTTACCCGCTGTTAGTGATTATTTACCGCCACGTCACTGCGTCTACACCAGGGTTTCACACATTGCGCATGTACATTCCCAGGAACTCCATATATCGTCTCCCATCAATTGAACGTTGTGCATTTAATAAATTATATGTGACATTTACATAATCATATAAAGTCTATGGTTCCAGTCCGACTTCATCATGAGTATGTATATGTGAATCACGATCAAAAACTGATGACACCAGGTGTTTGCAAAAAAAATGAGCGCATCCTGCCCTAACAGTGGCACCGTCATAAACACATGCAAAGGCAAATAAAATGTTCACCTGAAATAACCCAGACGTGAACATGTGGTTCAAATCAAAATAGGGAATAACATCGGACGTCATTTTGGACACTTGTGTGTCAAAGCTGGATGTGTTCTCCATATGTCTCTCATAGGACGTTTTGAAAACTTTGCTAAGTCCTTGAATGTTGTAAATCCTATCGAACACATCGGGGGCCGCGACTCATAAGACGCTCTTTGAATTTGCGGAATGTGTACACCTAAGGCAGGAGCTGCAGGAATATTGCCCGCGATAAAGGGAATGTTGACTGTTGGAATGTTGAAGTCACCCCCCTTGTCATACAGTCTTGTGGAGAATGTTTTGTCACTCTGACATACATAGAACTAAATATGACACATTAAGGGCCGGCCTCACTTGTCGCCTTTATTTCTAGTTCAGGTGGGTAAATCAGTGGGAGGGAATTGGCTAGTTGACCGTTATTGAATGATATCAGATCATCGATAAACATGAAGAATGACTTCCCGACTAGATCCCTTGTTTTGAGAAAAAATCATATTCATAAGCATAAACAAACCATGAAACCATTGGGAGCACAGTTGGTGTCCGTGGAGATGCCTACCTCCAGTGTAAATGTCCTGTCCCTGAATGTCACAGAGATGGTTACCAATGAGGAAGTAAGGAATAGATATGTGGATGAACAACTTCTTTATTACAATTAGGAGCGGCGTTTCGGTGTAGGTTCTAACCTTAATCAAGCAAGTGATCACTTGTGATCTTATCCTTACTCAGTACTAGATCTTAATGCCTCTCAAAGAAGGCATGAGGAAACCATCATTTCAAGTATTATTTTCTCAGAACACTTCAGATGGCATTTATTTTCAATTCTGACAAATTGTCTTGAACCAAGAGATGTTACTGTATCCATGGTCACCATGGTTAGTATAAAAAATGTCCCAAGGATCAAGGAATGACGTTATCCCTCAAGATTCAACTTGATTCTTTTCTTAGATCCCAAATTCCTTGTTCCACATGGTACGAATTCCTTCCTTGATCGTATTAGGGGCGGTCGTAGCAGCATCGTGGTTAGAGTGTTCGCCCAGTCAAAAGTTGATGGTACTGATGTTTGGTTTTGAGAGATTTCCTCCACATTTATCATGCTGCCCTACATGTTGCATTACTTGACTTAGTCAATCAATGTAATCAGAGTTGCTTGCGAGCATCGGTGATAACTTCCGGTTACCTATTCCCGCTTCAGCTAACTTATTCCTTATTTGCATAATTATGTTATTAAGGTATGATATGCCTATTTTAAATGTTTAGTTGCGTCATAAAATATCACACACAACCCTCCAGAACTCGTCAGATGGAATATTGTTACTTATACCATGTTAGGATTTGTTTTGTTTCTTTGTTGTTTAACGCCGCAAATACCATGCCCGTCTATATAAAATTAGCACGATAATAGTTGATGATAGACCGGTGATTGGGATTCAATATCATGGACAATTTCAACAGTTGCTTGTGAGTGGTAAATATGTGCTGCTTCGGTATTTGTTTCAAGGAAAAACATGCTCTACTGTGGAGGCAAGAGAACCATCATAAGGTGGCGTGAGATGAGGTGAGGTGAGGTGAGGTGAGGTGAGATGAGGTGAGGTGAAATGGGGTTTAAAGTCGCGTCCAAGATTATTGCACTTATTTAGCGACCTCACATTCACGCGCGCGTTGTGGTCGCTTGTACTAGTCCGGACTAATGCCGATTTTATAGTGCCAACCCGCTAAGATACCATGCCGCAGTTTAACAAGGATATCCCACACAGTCCTTGTTTAATGCAGGGAACAACAACAATGTTTTAACGTGTTTTGGCATGATGATCCACCCATTTACAACTTCTGAGAGGCAATCGAGCATGCTGTTTCTACCAAGATTTCAAAGAGTATCATGCGACTCTATCTCAGAAGTTGTTTGATCAAGGTTACAACATTCAAGGCCTCAGTAAAGCTTTCAAAAGGTTTTATAGTAGACATGTGGAGGACATTTACAAATTTGACGCATCAGTGACAAAAACTTGTACCAAATGTTCCTATATTTTTTCAAATGAACGATTGACTTGCCTCTGCATGTGTTTGTGACGGGTGCTACCGGCAGGGAAGGATACTTGTTGATGATAAAGTCGGAATTGTGTAATCGACTCTGCTTTATGCAGAGATTTCTATTGGATATGGAAAGGATTTTGTTTCTTTATTAATAGAAGGAAAGCGTAAAAAAAGATCAATTACACCTGCTATTAAGCGTTTGTTGCTTTGATGATGTGAAAGTTCTACTGACAGTCTTTTTGTATTTATCCTCATTTAGATACGAATATGAACACCCCTGAAATCTTGACGTCTTAAATTGCGACAATAATGTGTACATGTTATTGGATACATTTATGCCAGATTAAGTACAGTACTTCGAAAGAATTGGGAGTTTCTTAACTTCTTTTGAGTAGTATAGTATAATTACTTAAAAATGTTTTTCTTATCATTAAATTCTATAACGCATTTTATCCATTAACAAACAGGACTCCAGACAAATATTGACTGTTGTGATTTCTTCACCTGAAAACACCGTTGATTCCTTAAGACGCGACCTTGACACTCCCATAGAACGTCCTCGTCACGATAAGATCTGGAACACGCGTGGCCAGCAGTGTGACAAACTGATAGCAGACACATAAAGGTATGTTATGTTAAAGGTATTTAACACGTTTAGAACATTATAATGATAATTATAAGGTTATATTATGTTATAAATGTTGAAATCTTCATTTATATATACAGATCTGTAGGTTTGGATAAGTAAATATCACAAAACTCAAAACATTATTTTCCACAGTTATTTTATGTCAAATAAATCCAGTAACACCTGCTCCACTGTTGAGTTAGCGGGGACTGGCTGGACTTCAGTTTTAACAGTAGCAATGTCGTCAAAAGGGGAATCGTGCACGTACAGACTGAAATAGGGTCTAACGTCGCGTCCAAGATTATTGCACTTCTATAGCTACGTACATGTACGTGTGTGTGTGGCTGCTTGTACCAGTCCGGACTGATGCCGATTTATAGTGCTAGCACACTGAGATACCATGCCGCAGTTTAACACGAATACCCCGACCAGACACAGTATGCTGACTCCGAGCCGACCAGTCCTTGTTTTATCCCCTTTTTGCCGGGTAACAACAAGTACCATCTTTTAACGCCTTTTGGTATGACGCGGTGGGGGGTGGAACCCCGGACCTTCTGCTCTCCGGGCGGACGCTCAACCACTAGACCACAGAGGCGGTCCAGTAGACCATAGACCTGGCTTGAATTACCCATGTACGTACAATGTGTGAAGGCCAATTATGATGTCTCCCTCCGTGATATGGTTTTAATATTACTGAAAGCGGCATAAATCTATACTCACTCACACACGTATCCAGCGGTAAGTGAAAGGGGTAAACAGATGATATCAGGTTGAAATTTTGATGACAAATGTTACGAGAATCGGGGCAACGGAAACTGTACAAATTGTTACAAAACATGAAATTATTAGGTAGCTAAGCGTAGTTATCACGATACCCTTCGATAATTACTACCGTAAAACTGCTAAAAGCTGTGCCATTAAACATTAGCTCAATACTTTACTTTACGGAATGGGTCCTTATTTAAATTCGAGTATGAATACCCCTGAGACCTTGACGTTTTTAACTGCGACTCTTACGTGTAACTGGATACATGTGATAGAGTGAGTGAGTTGGCTTTAACGCAGCTTTGAACAGCATTTCTGTTATATCGGGGCATGTCAGCTTGAGAGGAAATCCCGAAGTGCAGATCTTAGACGTTTACACTTTGAGGTGCTGACACACCTACAAACATAATCAGGCCGATTAACCCACGGCATTTAAACTCAAGATCATAGATGTTTTGAACACAACTGATGTATCAGCGGGACTGGACGCCTTGGTCATAGGATCCTTGCAGCTATAAGGGGCGCAACTCTGCACAACACACTCTACAAATTACACAAACAAATATATATATACAGAATTGTAAAACGTCCTCCGTAACTACTCAATACACACGTGATGAACCTCCTCAGACAATGCGACTTCTGTTACTGTCAACGTTGGCATGGGGCGTCCTCGGCGACATGACGACAACGATGCAGGTGACGAGTCAACAGGGACAGGCGTTGCTGGGGTCGTTCTGTTTCGACCTGAAGGCCGACATCCTGGGATGGGAACTAGACGTGACCTTCAGCAAGCCGGTCAAGGACGTTAGCGTAAGGAACACCAACTATTTTTAGATTTGATAGCAAAAACATTTTTTTTCAATTCAATATATTTGAAGTGATCAAAGAGAGATAACTCTAAATTCCAACGGGACCTATTTCGAGCCTACAAACTAGACTTATTTCTATTTGGTATTGTGAATAGAAATCGATAACTAGTTACACATAACTCATCATCCAAGCCTTACAGTAAACAATGATTCGCTGTTCTTAATAGCAATCCTGGGATTGTCTGGTGCAGACTCGAATATTTACAGACAGCCGTCATGTAGCTGGAATGTTGGGAGACCCATAACGATAATCAAGTTTGAATCAGACAAACCAGTGATTGATAGCATGAACACCCCACACCTCCTTACTGTGACAAACAATCAGTGTGGCGTTAAACAACAAACAACAAACAAACCGTCGTGAGGAGAGGTCGTAGTTTCTGTGTTAACTACATAACGGACGGCAACTGATGTTAAGGCTTCTAATTTCACATATTTTGCTGAAAACATAATCGTCTCAATCAAGGTTTCACCACCAAAGGCACACTTACGAAACTCCAGACATTTTCTGGTAGACAATCAGGGGAAATTATCAAATATTGTTTTGTTTGTTTGTTTGTTGTTTAACGCCGCAATCAACAATATTCCAACTACATGACGGCGGGCTCTAAATAATCTGGACCAGACACTCCAGTGATAGATTGTATGAACATATATCCACGCAAGTGAGATACGATATGTATCAACAAAGTCAGCGAACCTGACCACCAGATCCCGTTCGTTGCCTCCTATGACAAGTATTGACCTTTTTCACACTTTCGCCTTCTTGGATCGAAAACGAGGCTTGGAGAGCTTAGCTCCATGCAGTGTGAGTCGCATCAGCTGATAGGGAACAGACAGCATGTTGTGCATTTCACTGATGGACATTTCAAACAAACAAAAAATGGTATCCTCTCTATCTAATACAGAAGATATTTCACATTTAATCATGAGGTCCAACTAAAATATGCCTATTATACACTGGAATTAGCATTTTGCTGTCAGGATCCCGGAAGTGAATCGAAAGGTGCATTTCGAGATACGTATTTCAGAAATAGATTGTTTTATCATAACCTCGTCGGCATATAGGTACAATGTGACAGTTCATTCAATGACAGAAGTTTTGTATCGTAAATGAACCGCATAACATGAAACACGTCAGTGTACTTTTGCAAATTTGCTCAGTCAATGCGTGGCTTGGCGAACTCGTGATCGTCGTTCATGTTTATTTCACGTTTCAAAGTGGTGTTTGCTGCAAAACGCACTATCGTTTTAGCATAAATCCAGTTGACAAAAGACACTCTTTCTGCTTGGTATTTTCATAGTAACATATTACGATGTAAATGAAATTAGTTCACAAAATAATTCGTGTGTCAAAATAAATATTCAGATGGGGCGATAACTCTATTCAGTGTGTACAATGACAGATGATACTATCTTGTTCTTCAAACATCACTTACTTAACTGATTATTGTGGATTGAGATTGCACCGTGCTAGACAAAAGTAATAATGTGTGAACTGTTTAAAATAAGTTAAAAGGAAACTAAAAATTGGTAAATATAAATAATGCATGAAATTGAAGAAATATAAGAATTGATAAAACCATCAACTTCTTGAACACCCTCACCTTATCCTGTTTGATGAAAGGTAATTGTATATCAAAAGGAAGCTATTAGTACATTTATCCTGAATAGTTTGGAAATGGCTTGATCAGATATGAGTACAGATAAAATAACAAAAGATAAAAAGGAATCAGCTTCAATTGGTAATCAAGCCAAGATAAAATATATGTATCGGTACAAATTACGTTGATGGAACAATCTGGATTTCTCATATTTAACAAAGAAAAACAAACCGAAATTTTCATGTCTTTATTTCTCACAATATAAGTTTTCAAAACTTAACATGGACCGGGTGTCTTTGTCAGTCAAAAGCACCTTATTAAATTCCAGGAGAGAATAATTTTCTTGCTTGTAAATAAATGGTAAAATGTACTTTTTTAGTGTCTGATAAATATTGACCATGTTGTTTTGTGAGTGAATAAGGCTTTTCACTTCCTCGTCCTATTTAAGTTAAATGTGACAGGAAGCACATTTGTTGATTGAATGAATATGGCTTTTACTTCCTCGTCCTTTAACAGGATGCACATTGTAACCAGTGTGTTACTGTTAGCAGAAAGCTCCTCCAAACATCCCCCACCGGATACTAGTACTTCATTGTGTTGACTCGCCGGCCTGAAATGAATAATTCAATAATATTGTAATAATATTTCTACTTCAATAATTTTTTTATAAACAATGCATATTCACCTTCTCTCAAAATATTGCTTATTTAGAAAACAACATTCTTCTGAAATAGAGAAATTTAAGGAAAATTAATCACAGTGTGTATTATTACATGCTACTTTAGAACAATCTTGAACTCAAACAGTATATTCTGTGTAAACACTAAACTCAACAAATGCATCAATTTAATGACAGTGTACAGCTCTTTATATCAATGTCACACAGAAATTCACTCTTGTTTTAATGAAACACGTTTTGATATTTGTATTACCGGTATGTATTTAATAATGAAATACTTTGTTTAGTCTGACCATGCTGAAAACATACTTTCGCTAGGGTGAAATAAATAAGATTTTTTATTAAAATCAGGTGAAATATCACGTTTTGTCACACCTACAGTCAGTCTGCCTCATTAACACTATGGTTTTCTGAGTAAGGTCATGAAGATCACAAAGAAAATATAAGACTTAAATTTATTTTGTCAAATGAAATGTTTATCTCTTCTTGTGGTTTACTAAAGTTGATATCTTGATTTGAAAATATCAACTTTGTCAGATCACAAGATGAGATAAATTCATGCTATCATCGTTATTTGACAAGGAAAACAAAATTCTTCTATGTATTTATATTTTTTACATTTCTCGTTTTGATTGAATTATAAAAAAATATGAAAATGATCACACCACTTGACTTGATTGAAATAAACTAAAGTTCTAAAGATTGTTACAAATAGTAAAATATTACATCATAACAATATAATTATTGCAAAATGACACAGTAAGAACAACTATATTCTTACATATAAATTGATATGATTAATTATCAATAATACATGGCAATTGCTTGCACAAAGAAATCATTTTGTTTCAAAAGTTTCAAAACATGTTTGTGGACATAAAACCAGATGGGTTTAACAATTAAACAAAGGAAATAAATGAGTTATGATTTCAATACGCATGTGATTTAAAAATAATTCTGCTTATACTAAGTTTATAGTAATGTCAATATCAATTTAGGCATTTGAAATATTTGAATACAAACTGTTAAAGAGTTAACTGTTTCTATAAATTATATAAAGATCACATGTAGATTGAACATTTACTGGCCAGTAATAAGTTGGGGTTTTGCTAATTTCATGACATGATTAATGTGGTACAGTTAAGTAAATATCATTTTGGTAGAAATATTGTTTACAAAATTGCAGATCAAACTGTACTTTACTTCAAATATTTACACACCCTTTATGTAATTATTCAGTTGAAATATTACACCTCATGCTATCTAATCTGTCAACATTGACAATCAAAATAACAACTGTTAACAATCACAACAGCACAAGTAGATCTAGAGGTCTAATATTTTATTGGAATGCATTTGAGTCCATTACAATTTACATCGAATACGCAACTGATGCAAAATTCTGATTTGTTACGATTGTAAATTCTCAATAGGTTACAATTTGATACATCATAACAACATATCAATTTAGTTAGTTTCTGACATCTATCTAGATATGGTCAAAAGTTCAATATTTCCACTTCAAATACAACCCGCAAAGTTATTTAAACTCACAATAAATAGTTTTGCTTAATGGTGTGTAAACGATGAATTATTCTTTACAAGATCTCAGTAGCATTTGCATAAGTCTGTTCAGCTACCATAAACTGCACTGGGAGTTACCAGGTGGTCATGGATATTTTAAATTGAAATCACAACAGAACGTTCAGACTCAAATTTATATCGGTAAGGAGACCAGATAACAGTAGAATAGTTTGTCAATGATAAGAATTAGAATAATGTTCAATACTTACGATAAATGTACCGGGATGGTTAAATTGTCACAGTTTGTCGAGATTGCGTGTCTTGTTGACTTCTCCACGTGTTTCATGTGCTATCCATGCAGCCTTCACCTTCTGCTCTCCAAGCCTCGCTTTCAAACCGGAAGTAGCGAAGTGTGAAAAAGGTCAATAATCGCCTCTTACGGCAAGCATGGGTTGCTGAAGACCTATTCGACCTCGGATCTTGACTGGTCAAACATTCTTTTATAAGATATGTATGTTATCAACATGATATTTTATAACCTTTACATTGAACATGCAGGGCGGGGTGATAGCACAGTGGTTAAAGCGTTCGCTCGTTACGCCAAAGACCCGGGTTCGATTCCCCATACGGGTACAATGTGTCGTGACATTGCTGGAATACTGCTGAAAGCGACGTAAAACCAGGGAACTACAAGGAACTTACACACCCCCTTAAAGACTGGCACTTACGTTTTAATGAAAGTGTGCGACGTTTTGATTTCCCAGCAATATGATGGTGATGTCATCTCTCCCTCGTCCGCATCCTGCTTCACCCAGCTGCAGATGGTCAATAAGCCCCCCGACGGCGTCCACTACACAGGGGAACACCTGTGTGTCAAGATGATGGTACAGAGATGCGGTGCTGCTGTCATCACTGCGACGGGAGTGCTCAGGGATCTTACCCATGCCCAACAGACCGTACCAGCCGTGTCGACGTTTGCAGGTATGTATCAAGTCATACCCTGACGTTTGTTTGTTTGGTTAGTGCTTCACGCCGCACTCAGCAATATTCCAGCTATATGACGGCGGTCTGTAAATAATCGAGTCTAGACCAGATAACCCAGTGATTGACTTCATGAGCATCGATCGACGCAATTGGGATACGATCACATGCATCAACCAAGTCAGCGAGCCTTATCACCCGATCCTATTAGCCGCCTTTTACGACAAGCATAGTCGCCTTTATCGGCATGCACGGGCTACTGAAGACCTATTCTACCCCGGATCCTCACGGGTCCAAACTCTGACGATGTAGATTACATTTCGTGAAGGGTTGATTCCAAACCATAACTTAAGTATTCTGTATTTTGAACAATAATAAACTGTATTCATTGAACACCGACAACACAGCGAATGTCTTGGAGCTATAGGTGTGCTTCAGATTGGTTAAACACAACACACACCATGTCAACAATCATACGAAATTTCAACTAAAAAGACCATTGTATGATTCCGATGATATCATAAGCCCTCTTCGTTCAGTTTTCGTGGATTAACAACTGAAGCCTCGGTGGCTGAGTGGGTTAGATCGTTGACTTTGTGTGTTGGCGATAAGGTGCCTCACTCTGGTAGTGTGGGTTCGAATCCCGGATGGGTCTCAACCCCAAAAAGTACTAGAATGTGAACTTTACTCAGAACAAGTCTTGTCCGAAGTATAATAGTTGTTACATTTGTCCACTTTCTAAATGGCAGTGTGTTTTAACAACTGTACCACTTTAAGTTAACGTAAACACCTGTGGATATTTATTGCAAGGTGCCCAGGCCACCAAGTACAACTATGTCGAGGTCCTGATGAAGTCGATGATGTTCTACGAGGCTCAGAGATCCGGGAAACTCCCCGCTGACAACAGGATCCCTTGGAGGGGGGACTCGGCGTTAGGAGACAAGGGAGATAATGGGGAGGATCTCACTGGGGGATGGTATGACGGTGAGTACAACTGCACAGAGGGAGGGGGACACGGCGTAAGGAGACAAGGGAATGGCTGTAGCGGGGAAGGTGTTGAAGGATGGATTTGTGGGTGGTTGAATGACTGTAGTGAGGGAGGTGTTGGGAGATGGATTGGTGGGTGGTTGAATGGATGTAGTGGTAGAACAAAATTTGGTGGTGGATGCGGTTAGACAGGGGAGTGGGAACTCCGCACATGGGCCGCGTATGAAGGCGAGTGTCAATTGAAGATGTTGGTAAATTTATAAACATAACCTACAACAGCTAGCTTCGCGTCTTCTTCAGCCGGAGGCAATACAAAGTTCAACTTCCCCATGGCGTTCAGCACGACCTTCCTGACCTGGGGTCTGATCAGATACAAGGACGCCTACGAGAAGACGGGTCAGCTGGAGAAGATGTACGAGTGCATCAAGTGGCCTCTGGACTACTTCATCAAGTGTCACACCCAACCGGACGAACTATACGTACAGGTATGGGGACATGGCTCTTGTCTTGAATACTAGTCTGTATCAGTTAACAATCGGAACAAGATATATCCAACCATATTCTCTGTATAGCTAAAGACGAATGAGGAACCAGTGACCATTGGTGTGCAATACGATCCACGGTTATGTCGGTCTGTTGTCCATGGTAGTTGCCCTTCACAAGAACTTTACACTGTGTTATTGGTCACTCGTGTTTGTCGGTGAGTGAGTGGGTGAGTGCGTGAGTGAGTGAGTGAGTGAGTGAGTGGGTGGGTGGGTGAGTGAGTGAGTGAGTGAGTGAGTGAGTGAGTGAGTGAGTTACGTCGTTTTTAGCAAAGTTCCAGGGGACACCAGAAATGGGCTTCACACATTGTACCAATGTCGGAAATCGAACCCAGGTCTTTGGCGTGACGAGCGAACATTTTAACCACTGGACCACCCCATCCCACGGTTGTGGGATTGACGGGTAGCTCAACGGTTAACTCATTGATTTGTCATGTCGGTCCTTGCCCTGGGTAACACGGACATGTACTGTTGGGACGGGTGGCACTGCAATTATTGATGCTGAGTTTTGTCATTCATCTACCAATACCTTTCCAAGATTTACAGGTTTTTTTGTAACCACGTGTCACTCACTCACTGCATGCCCTACGTGTATTGGGATGCTTTGGGGTGTTACCGTATACACATATTTATGTCCAACGATCAACCCTGGGCTGCTATATTAGACAGGAGACGGTGCTTATGAACACTCGACGTGGACGAGCCCAGAACGCATGAACCAGAACAGGCCTACGTTCAAGATAGATGCTGACAACCATGGGTCTGATATTGCCATGGAAGTTGCAGCAGCAATGGCGGCTGGCTCCATTGCATTTAAACAGAAAGGTGAGGTAAAGTTGGCGGTACTGCCCCTTAGGGAGGTGGAGGAGAAGGAAGGGGAGTAGATGGTGGGGTTGCATTCGTGACCAACTCGTGTTATTCCGGGACAAGCCGAATAGCGAGTCGTGCCCCTCTCATGGACATTTTTGCGACCGGGTTCCGTCTTAGCGCAAACGGGCATACCTAAAACAATTGTCAACTCGTTGCGTAATGGTTCACATATATTTCCCCATATATTATATATATTTCAGATGCAATTTAAAGCACATCGGGACGTGCGAAATTATACAGTATGATTGAATACATTTAACTTTGTTTTGGGTATATTTTTAGACGCAAAACATATGTAAAATCAAAATATATATCTTAGGGATTCTTTGACGAAGAACTTATAATCATACACGCATTCTGATTGGTTACATTACATTCATCGATAGGGGGACGAGTCTTCTTGCAGGTTACGGAAAGGGGCGAGTGGTGACGAATGGGTGGGGTTTGTGTTTGGGGGAGGGGGTGGGGGAGGGGGTGGCGATGTCAGTGGTGCAGTTCTGTAAGCTGCTACAAATCGTTGTGCGCTAGAGCCCAATCTCATTAAAATCAGATCTTAGTTCATCGCTACTGCACTTTGATTTATCTGATTTTAATGAGATAGGCTAAGAGCCGTGCCAGTTTATATTGGCGAGGAAAGCCCAAAGTGATGCAGGTCTTAGATGTTACCACTTTGCTGAAATCTAAAAGCACAGGTATGGTGCTTACAAACCTAGAAACATAATCGGGGCGAACTGGGATTCGAACCAACAATAATTTCTGGCGTACCCAAGGGACACAACTCTGCACAGCGAATTGCGGCGACTGGGCCACCTGTGCCCCCCCATATACTTTTTAAAGCTGTGTTAAATACAGCAATCACACCGTTCTCTAGGTAAAGCGTAATCACATGTAGAGTATTGGTGATTTGTTTGTAGATCCTGCATATTCCTCCACACTATTGACCCATGCGAAGCAGCTGTACACGTACGCCATGGCTCACCAAGGGAAGTACAGTGACAGCGTCCCGGATGTCTCCGACTTCTATAAGTGAGTATGTTACATACAGGGAAATCTCTTTTTCTATGACCTCCATACTCCAAATACTCTTTTTAGCAAATCATTTCCCTGAATCCTCTAAAGCCATTGGTCGGCGACGGTAATGTTAACACAGCAACGAAGTAATTTATAATTGCATGGTGATTGGCGTAGCTTCTATTCTTGGCAACGTTAGTCACTGGATATTGCAGGTCATATGGGTTCGCTGACGAGAACAGTTGGGGCGCCATCTGGATGTACAAAGCCACGGGAGATAACCAGTACTTGGCTGACGCAGAACAGCACCATATACCAGGGCCGGCATGGGGATTCTCGTGGGATGAAAAAAATGGTGGCGCTAATGTAAGTTAAACGTTCAAAAGTGTAACTCAACGTGTGGTAGATAATACAAATTGTTTGTGTATGGTTGACATGGAAATAGGATACGATTTGGTCAAATAGTCAGTGAGTGAGTGAGTGAGTATTGTCTTACGCCGCTTTTAGTGATATTCCAGCAGTATCACGGCGGGGGATACCAGAAAGGGGTTCACACATTGTACCCATGTCGGGAATCGAACCTGGGTCTTCGGCGTGACGAGCGAACGCTCTAACCACTAGGCTACTCAAATAATATTTGAAATTCAAAAAGTAAATTCAACCTTAAGAACATGTGTAGTAATTTTGTTCAGTATATGTTATTAAGTATATTATATCCATATTCAGTCCTCATTCCAAACTAACGCAACTTTGAATAACTGTCCCAACTTTTAACTTTTAAGGTTCCGTCCACGGCCGCGTCATACCAATAGACGTTAAAAGATGGTAATTCTCTGTCTCTGTCTCTCTCTGTGTGTCTCTCTCTGTGTCTCTCTCTTTCTCTCTCTCCATCTCTCTCTCTCTCTCTCTCCCTCTCTATCTCTCTCTCTATCTATCTCTCTCTCTCTATCTCTCTCTCTATCTATCTCTCTCTATCTCTCTCTCTCTATCTCTCTCTTTATCTCTCTCTCTCCATCTCTCTCTCTATCTCTCTCTCTATATCCCCCTCTCTCACTCTCTATCTCTCTAACTCCCCCTCTCTCTCACTCTATCTCTCTCTCTCTCTATCTCCCTCTCTCTCTCTCTCTCTCTCTCTCTCTCTCTCTCTCGCTCTCTCTCTGGGCACGGGTGGCACAGTCGTCTAAGGCGGCGATATTCGCTGTGTAGAGTAGCGTCCCTTGGGCACGCCAGAAACCTATGATTGTGGGTTTGAATCCCGGTTCGCCCAGATTATGTTTCTAGGTTTGTCAGCACCATACCCGTGCTCATGGGTCTCACCGAAGTGGTAAACGTCTGAGACCTGCATCACTTCGGGCTCTCCTCCCACATTAAGCTGACACGTCGCGATGTAACTGGAATACTGTTGAAATCGGCGTTAAACCCTACTCACTAACTCATCTCTCTCTCAACCCATAATCGACTTCTCAAGAGGGTAGATGAAGTGTAGATGTTGTTTTAAACTGATATTCGGCAATTTCACGGAGGCATGCAATTAATAGAGCCTGTGTCAACATACACTGCAACCCGACACAGTGTCTCACGTTTACTGCTCTAACAACAGGGTACAGAGGAGATTCCGGAAGGGAATGTTAAGTGTGTTGATGTGTTGAAATCTGGTCTTTATTCAGTCGTGGAAGGCAGTGTGGATTGATGCTGTTTCCACTGCCAGGTTTGTCTGCATGTGCAGGCCAAAGATCCCAAGCACATATACTAACACCCACCAACTCACCTACAGATTCTACTGTACGAGGCAACCAAGAAAAGCATCTATCAACAGGACATTGTAGCCACCTTCAACGCCTGGCTACCAGGGGGCACTGTCACCTACACGCCCAACTGCCTCGCCTTCAGGTTAAAGTGGGGCCCTCTCCGATATTCAGGTTGGTTGCGGGACAAATAAGAGTACAGTCAAACCCCGTTAATCCGGATGAAATCTCGTTAATCCGGACAAAACCTCGTTAATCCGGACGGAAATCGTTAATCCGAATGGAACCTCGTTAATCCGGATGGAACCTCGTTAATCAGGATTGAACCTCGTTAATACGGACGGAATCTCGTTAATCCGGACCGAACCATTCCTAAAGAAATCGTCCAAAAATCAACACATTTCCGAACAAACGGCTAATTGTTGGGGTGTCTTGAATATATCTATCTACATGTTACTGACAGTAATCGTCCGGAAAATCAGGTTTCCGTACTAACGGGGTCCATGTTAACAGGGTTTTATTTTATATACACTTTTTGTACCGAGAACATGTGAAAGAGATATTTAATTTGATATATGTATTAGTTAAAAAACACTTGGCTCTCAAATGTGAAAGTAAAGTGAAAAGGCTAGGGTAGCACAAAGTGTGGAGATTGATTGTTGAGGAATATAGGATGTTTTATATTGACATACTTGCAGTTTCTCTTGCTTCATGAAGTAACGTTCACAGAAGTTTCATTATGTCAACATGCGGAGAGTTCATGTATTTATGAAACGATAAACTTTATTCCTTTGTTATGTATAGACGCAAAAATATTTGTATTTATGGATTGTTAAATGAGTATTCATAGAATATAACATCATGGGCCTTGATACTTGTCTTCAATGATAATGAGATGTATTCTTCCAATTATATTTTCATCTACTGGCGATGAGATGCAACGTTCTGTACGGTTATTCTTCGGGTATGGATTAAATACTTTTATATCCAATTATGTTAAAATTTAAAAACTGAAAGTATATCTAACTGCTTGTGACCTCCTTCAGCTAACATGGCGTACCTGGCTCTGGTGGCAGCGGATGAAGGTATCAATACCTCCCAGTACCGCCAGTGGGCGATAGGTCAGATCCACTATATTCTTGGAGACACCGGAAGGAGTTTTATTGCAGGGTTTGGAAACAACCCTCCACAGAGACTTCATCACCGGTCAAGGTAAGGTCAACCATCGGCCGATAGGGAAGCCATATTTTCACCGCGATTTTGCTTTTTGTCTCTGGCGTTTACGTGTTACTTTTTTTATCCACATTTCCGATAATTTTTTGAAAACATTTATCCTGGTAGAAAGTAATATGGGTATTATGTTTCGAGGATTGAACTTCACCCTGCACACTTACTTGATTTTCCTCAGTCTTTGACATAGGCATATGCGCCTCGTGAAGATTCCGGGGTAGAAAAGGTCTTCGGCAACGTAAGAGGCGACGAACGGGATCGGGTGGTCAGGCTCGCTGCCTTGGTTGATGCATGTCATCGTATCCCAATTGCGTGGATCGATGCTCATGATATCAATCACTGGATTGTCTGGTCGTTAAACAGCAAACAGACAAATATAGACATATGCCACAAAGTTAGTTAATATATGTAACTAAATTAGTTGGTTAATAAACTAAAAGATGACATTTTCTGCAAGTAATGTGGAAATAACTGAATTGAACCCAAAGTGTTCATCGCAATGCTATGGGCAAGAGAACCGGACTGTGTTTTGTTGAGCAGATTATCATTAAAAACATGTAGCACATATCCTTTCAAGCAGATAAATCCGCCACCACCCACACCAACCAACAAACACACACGACACCCCTTGAGCTTGGGAATGCACTACCATTTTCAATGACTCAGTTTTATAGTCCGTCAACGAATGTTAGCATTACATTTAGGCAGTTAATACACCAGGAAACCTTTGTTCTAATATTGTGAACTGGCTGGACACAAAACGTGCATCATTAGTCCTCCGAAGCAGTCTTTCAGCCGGTTAGCTAAACGGCTGAATTGATTAATATTTGAACATTACTAGTTGATGTCCTCCCATGTTCAGTTCGTGTCCATTGCTCCCCGCACCCTGCTCCTGGGACATGGAGAAGTACAAGGGCCCCAACCCTCAAGTCTTATACGGCGCCATGGTCGGCGGGCCCGACCCGAACGACAAGTACAGTGATGACAGGGACGACACCATCAGGAACGAAGTTGCCTGCGACTACAACGCCGGCCTGCAATCAAGCGTAGCTGGTACGTTGGGAACTGATAGGCCTGATATGTATAATTAGAAGTTATTATTAATAATCCTGTTTGATTACAAACAGTTCATTATGTTAATAAACTGATATGGTTTTACATGGTCTATGTGGAATTAGTTCATCTTGAGCCATACAACAATACCGAAGTCGACTGTTTTAACATTCATCATTTATTCACGGGATTCACGGGAACTTAGATGTATTTTAGAACGAATATATTTTTAAGAAATGAGAATACATGTGTTAAACATTGGCAAGTGGCGATACTATTTATAAGTCGAACTTCTCTGTTATTCGAGATTTGACTCATCCTGGTCGCGTAGCCATTCTGTCGAATATCTAGGAACAATCTAGTCCGTCGATAAAACATTGTTGACCATGTTTCAAAATCCAATTTTCCATTCCATGTGTTACTGCATTGTGCAGTATACAGATGTTTAATAATGAGCAAGACAGAATATATTTATTTTATCAAGATCTTTCATGATTTTATTATAGTTGTACCAATTGTATGTTTCAGGTCTTCAGCATCTGGCCAATGGTAATCAGCTTCCCAGCCCCCTGCAGCCTGTCTGTCCTCAATAATCACCCACAGATAGACTGCGACATTGTGGAATTATTGTTATTGATTTCACTAGTTGTCTATGATAAATATGTATGTGCCCTGTTCAGCGTTATTCTTCTGTATATAAGTGTGCCGTTCTATATTCTGTTTAGCATGTTTAGTGGGTTTGTTACTGTTCTCTGGGGGCGGTCGGGTAGCCTAGTGGTTAAAGCGTTCGCTCGTCACGCCGAAGACCCGGGTTCGATTCCCGACATGGGTACAATGTGTGAAGCCCATTTCTAGTGTCCCCGCCGTGATATTGCTGGAATATTGCTGGAAGCGGCATAAAGCCATACTCACTCACTCACTCACTAGTGTCCATGTTGTCTTAAGGTGCAGTCACCAATGATAAAGTAACAGTTATTTCAAGAGCTGAAGTAACCGATCGGTATATAAAACGTCGATTATCCTCCGAAAGTTTTCATTGGGCGTAAAAGGAACAATATCGGTGAAAATTAGATATGTGCTTCATTTGCAACATTAGCAATGATTCACACCGATATTGTGGGCAATTGTTACGTCTCGACTTCCAAATTGAAACAATGAGTTAACCCAGTAACCTGTACGAATTTAGTGTGAAACCCACAAACAACAAAGAAATGGTATACATTTAACATATATATTACAAATATGAACTACGATTATACATTAATACAAATTACTGCAAAGCAATTTCAGTGACAGGACACAATAGCGTGGCAGGACACAAGAGAGTGGCAGGACACAATAGAGTGACAGGACACAATAGAGTGACAGGACACAATAGAGTGGCGGGACACAATAGAGTGACAGGACACAATAGAGTGACAGGACACAATAGAGTGACAGGACACAATAGAGTGACAGGACACAATAGAGTGACAGGACACAATAGAGTGGCAGGACACAATAGAGTGACAGGACACAATAGAGTGACAGGACACAATAGCGTGGCAGGACACAATAGAGTGACAGGACACAATAGAGTGACAGGACACAATAGAGAGGCAGGACACAATAGAGTGGCAGGACACAATAGAGTGACAGGACACAATAGCGTGGCAGGACACAATAGAGTGACAGGACACAATAGAGTGGCGGGACACAATAAAGTGACAGGACACAATAGAGTGACAGGACACAATAGAGTGACAGGACACAATAGAGTGACAGGACACAATAGAGTGGTAGTACAACATTTCCAAGGCTCGGGATTTGTGAGATGAATAAACTCGGGACAAATGATTCGTAATTCCCCATCGCTCGTAGGTAACTGTCTCATATTAGACCTTTGGAATACTGTTATCTATGCTGTCAGGTGACACATTCAAGGACCTCTATCCAGCTTTATAAAACTGGATGCGTTTCCATTTAGTGTTTTGCATTCGTGTCGACGAATAAATGATAATAGTAGTCCGCATAATTATATAAGAACGCCATACCTCAAGAAAACAAAAGTCACCTTTATGAGTTTACCTGATTGTGATCCATGATCACTGACACTTACTTTAATGGACTGGGCGGTCATACTTGGAGTCTTGGTTGTCAGTGGCTTTCTTCAGCGAAGACGTGGATCATTGCTCATAATACTGATCACAGGTTTGTCTGGTCCGCAATTGTTAACAGGCCGCCGTCGAAACAAGCAAACATAAAACTTGCACAAAGAAGGTATGCAGTTCTTCACTGACCTCCACTGTCACATGACAAACTTAAGGAAAGACTTCATTCCTTGATCCATGCGACTTTGGTTACAGTAACATATCTATCTTCAGAGGGGGCACGGGTGGCCCAGTCGTCTAAGGCGCCGCGATTCGCTGTGCAGAGTTGCGTCCCTTGGGCACGCCTGAAACCTATGATTGTGGGTTCGAATCCCGGTTCGCCCCGATTATGTTTCTAGGTTTGTCAGCACCATACCCGTGCTCGTGGGTTTCACCGAAGTGGTAAACGTCTGAGACCTGCATCACTTCGAGCTTTCCTCCCACATTAAGCTGACACGCCGCGATATAACTGGAATACTGTTAAAAGCGGCGTTAAACCCAACTCACTCACTCACTCTATCTTCAGAGGTTCAGGACAATTTGTCAACATTAAACGTAAATGTCATCTGAAGTTTCCTTAGAAAACAATATTTGAAATTCTTCCTCATGTCAATCAATAGATCTTTTTACAGAAATACTATAGGCCTATAGTACATGTCTTTCTGGATAGTGGGTGGACGAATTGATTTGTACTTGTTTAAGTCACTCATCTTATCATTTCTGAAAATCATTGCATGGAACATATATACTAGTACGCAGTCAAAGGCTTGAGCACATCAATATTTGTAGAAGACATTAATCCATTAAACTTAAATATATTTGGAAATTGATACATTGATGGGTGTAGGTATGCAATTCGTAAATTCTATTAAAATGAACATCAATGTGAATTTTAGAGACAGGACTTTGAGACAAGAGGCATATCCATAGTCCCCAACTCCCCTTCTTGCTGATCTGTTTCTTATGGGTATGCAAATTTAGAGTGACAAAACACCCTCCACCTCGACAGATGCTGAATTTTAACCGAGAAATACAAGTCAATGATATCCAATCTCATGATGGAAAACATGAGGAAGACCGATTTGGTTATGACGTTACCAGTCAATTTTGCTGTCATATTTACTTTTGTTGAGCCGAGATTACGTTTGAGAACATGAGTTGAGTAAAATTGTAAAAGGGAAATCTGGTGATACACGACAGGAGGGCTGGCAAATTAACCTTGCACTGAATGTGATATTCGATCCAAAAAAGCCTCAGTGAATCTAAGGAAGGTATTAACAACGTTGACACAGATGGGAATGTGGATGAGATGGGTCTAAGTGTAACATTCACAACGACTTATGCATGGAAAAGATAAGGAGATAACTTCTCTTATCAATCCTTCTTACACGTTCAACCTTGCTTGCCTGACCGCGTCAGGATGTATTAGACCCGTGAAACCCGGGGTAGAATAGGTCTTCAGGAACCCATGCTTGCGGTAAAGGGTGACTATGCTTGTCGTAAGAACGACTAACAGGATCAGGTGGTCGGGCTCGCTCACTTGGTTGATGCATGTCATCGTATCCCAATTGCGTGGATCGATGCTCATGGTGTCAATCACTTTAATGCCTGGTCCAGACTTGATTATTTACAGACCGCCATCATATAGCTGGAATATTGCTGAGTGCGGCGTTAATACAAATAAACAAACAAGCAACCAACCATCAACAGTGTCAGTATCGGGTGTGACTATTTGTGTTGATACAGGCGAGGCAGGGTGTATTACGAGTCCATTCTACACATCCCTCCAGCTACCAGATGTTACAGCTGCCTAAACTCCTGTATGCCCTTATGGTGACCCAATTAGCCAATTGTTCAGAAACATATCCAGATGTTGTAATTACGGGGTAGCCCCAGTGCTGCCAACAAGGGATGTGAAACAATACAAAGAGGAAGTGTGTTTGCAAAATGTACGAGTAGAAAATAATATCTGAAGCAACTCAAAAGGTCAAGTTCACTCCAACTCCACCCAAAGCTGCTTCTGCTACTCAGAATTTAAAATCCAATTCTTCACAAGCCACTGAAACAACACTTCAACCCCACCCTGTTCTTATTTCTGCCTGAAATGTCTTTGCCATGTTGTAAAGTAGCTCGGAACTACATGCTGCTTTCACTCACGAGGAACCTGAAGCAGCCATATCAAGAACAGATAACTCGTCACCTGGTGCAGATGAGATACACGTATGCTATGAAATGTGTAAGTATATGCCACATTCTGCTCTAGCTGTTATGCGGAAAGTTTGAATTTATGTATTCATGATCCTTGCGTCAGACCTTGAGACATGTATATGTCTCAACAGTTCCAGGTCCAAGACCAGCAAAAGATCCACCGCTTCCTGCTTCATAATGACCAATGTCTCCAGTCAGGTATGTTTGTTTGTTGTGTAACGCCTCACTCAGCATTATTCCAGCTATATGACGAATAATCGAATCTGGATCAGACAATCCAGTGATTGACATCATTAACATCGATCCACGCAAATGGATCGTTCACCTGAACTTTTGTCCATTTTGCAAGCAATTATCTTTACAGATTCCATGGCGCAACTAAAGCTATAGAAGCTGGTGCAAATTGACCCAGAGATGACATTGTTTTTGAGATATTAACACTGGGTACATTTCTAAACACGAAGGACATTGCAAGCGATATTGTTTAGGTTCTAGCATATGTTGGAATACATGGGAATGAGATTGCAGATCTTTGGGCCAGATCTGGATTACAAAATCCAAACTTAAGCCCCTATTTCACATACACGAATTAAGAAATTGCGAACACGATTTAAGAAAAGTTGAAAAATAGTATTGATTCGTGCTCGACCTTGTGGTTTATGCAAATTTCTTAACCAAACACGACCCTCATACGACCAAAACGACCCTCATACGACCCTCATACGGCCTTCATACGACTGAACACGACACTCATACGACCGTCATTAGATAGTCATACGATACAACACGATTTAACCTCATTTAACACGACCCCAATACGACTGTCATACGACCAAACACGACTGTCATACGACGCCCATACGACTTAAAGCCCCACCCTGACTATAAATAGCCCGCAAGGTGGCGGTGTTTCAGTTTTGAACAATGACTGACAATGTAAACACAACCGAGTGTCGGGAGACGTTTTTTGAAAACCATAAGGGAACCAGATCACCATTGACCGTCAAACTTCGTATCAACTTGAATGACAAACCATGGATACAACAAATGGCTCCATATCAAGATATAAGTCAATAGACTTTCTGTAGTTTTATCATAAAAAATCGTATCGATCGTGTTTGGCGTCTGCATCAATCACAGTGGGCGGAGCTTATTTACGGTTGCGCTATAAATAGCAAAGCACATGGTCATGTGTACATGTGACACATTCAATGCATTTGTGGTCAAAGTGAATTGTGTTGCATATTTTTTAGGGCAGAACAGCAGCAGAACATCAGTTTCGGTTAATGTAACAGTAACGATATTTAAATACGAAATTGACGACGCGATTCTTTGAGT